GTTACCAATACGGTTTCCTGAAACAACAAAATTTTCCTCAGACATCTCTTGTACCAGCCAGTTTGGCATTAATTAGCTGTTCTTAAATGTAAAGCTTTTTAGAAGCAATAATGAGTTTTTACACCACCTCAATTTTACAGATAGTAAAGCTGCTGGGATAGGAATTGACCCATGCATCCTTTAGACAACCTAAACAATTGACCTAAATATTCATTTATCAAAACCAGAGGATAATTATCATTCAAACAGTTATTTCAAGCATGTTTCTAAAAGCCACACTAGCCTTACTGACCAGTAACATCCATATGGATGTCACTACTTTCTGAAGTATTTTAACAGTGCATTAGAGAGGTCTGTCCTAGCACACAGGAACTGTAGGGGTTGACTTACCACAAGAACTAATCAAGCGATACTTTGAAAAGCAAATAAAATCAAATTAAAATGCCACGTGTTTCTTTTACCCCTAACAATGCACAGATGTCATACCCTTTTGAAGACTTCTGTTTCTTAGAAATTCTGGGAACTTTTTTCTGCTGTTGCCTCACCTGTGAGCTTTTCTTGTCTTTGCAGTGGCTTTTGGACACCTGTGGTGGAGCACTACCCCCCACTTCTTCCTCGATCTTCCCTCTGGCTGAATGTTTCTCAGTCTGTGACCTCCTGGAGATTGTGCGCTACTGTGTAGGCAGTTCTGAAAGGTAAATAAGAAATAGCAAGTCTAGTATGAGTGACTTAAATTCACTAAATGGAGGGGATGGGCACATCCCCAATGCAAGAATTGTAGAGAAGTGCAATTTGCAAACCTTAGCAGAAGTGCTACCATGCGTGCTTGGAACAAATTGTCATGCACGCAGAGGTGACCTGTGGATGTGACAAGTCAGAGATACCTGTAAACAAAGTAAACGTGGGGGCAAAGAATAGGGAACTGGATGGGTTAATCCCTTCCAAAAAGTTAAAGACGGCTTTAATAAATGAAGAAAAGAGTGAGACTGGATGTGGAGCTCCCTTTGCCAGAAGTGGACTTATTTAGTCATGGTATAAAGGCAATTTTATCAAATGTCTTTTTTTTGTTATAGTATTTTGAAGATGAATAAAAGGAACTGTGTACCTATCTGAAAAAGGTTTCCAAGAGTGATCTGTGCCCTGTGTTACTTGAAATGAGTTCTTCTGCAATCTCGGTCAGCTGCAAGGCATCAGTTCTGCCTCCTGTGTGCAAGTGAAAGCATACGCTGGCTGAGCTGGGGTTTTCCCCTGTTTTAATATCAAATAGAAAAGTGAAACTGGATACCCATAAAGTATTGAATACAACCTGAAAACAGCTAAATATAAACTGAATACAACAACTGAGTGCAACCAAAATCATTCTGATCAGCTTTACCACTTCAGCAAATAGATGACATCTGGGTTGAGTGAAACGATGTATTTCTGAGCTGCCTTCCATAATCTTCCTGTAAGTTGACATTTGGCTTGCAGCAGATAAAGCTGAGCAATCACTTAATCATCAAGAAATTGGAATGAAACACCTCGTGTATGTTTTAAGCTTGTATTTCTATTACTTACAAGGCTCTTATGAATGTTCCAAGAGTTTGAGTAACTTCTAGATTTCCCTTTTCAGTCTTGATTTCATATGGAATGTTGTGAAGTGAATCACTTCAAAGCAGCTTTGTGGTTAACTCTGTGGGGTTGCCCAGAGGTCTGTGGGAACCTGGATCTAGGAAAAACATGGGTAACATTAATGATTCCAGACCCAAGCTCAGTTGCAATGAGCTCTCAAGACTGCAAGTGGTTTTGGGAGAGCTTAACGGCCTGGCTACAGCCCTGACAGCAAATATAACATTTATTAATCACATGTGAGACAGAAATACACAGCCATCGTGGTACCAAACCAGCAGTATTGCCCTGAAAAGCAAAACAGGAGCAGTAGAAAACAAATAGTCAGCTAAGGATTTATTGCAGTGATCTAATTGACTCTAATGAGTAGAGTAATGCCATATATGATAAATTGATAGTTTGAAATACAGCTTGGAAAAGCACTCATTTCACATGTTAAAAATATCTTACGCCCTGATGTCAACAAAAGTATCACTGCATGGATGAGGGACTGGCATAAGGAAGGAATTGTCTGCTTTCATAACACACCGCTAAGCAGTTGCCACAGTCTAAGGGCTCCTTGGAGCAACAGAGACTCGGAGAAACCTTCTTGCAGTGTGGAGGAACAGTTTCCATTGTGTGGTCCGAGAGCTGACAGTATGAACTTTCATGTGCGCCATGAGTTTGTCCAGCAAGCAGTGCTCCAGATATCCACCCTACAACCACGCAATGTGTGTGAATGGAGACAGTCCTTTAGGACAAGAGATCTGTAACAAAGCAGGCAGGGACCGTAACTAATTGTCAGCATAGATACACCCTTGGGAAGATGTTCTGAGGAACAGAGGAGCTTTGAACAGAGTCCAGCTGAGACCTGACCCAACTGTCTCAACAATTCATATCCCTCAGAACATGTCACCCTGACCCCAATGCAAAGAGGAGTCAAACAAATTTGCCATCCTGGAAATCAGCAAGCAAGCCAGAGCGGATCTCCTCCTGAGTTGTCGGTGAAAGAAAAAGAAGGTACTACCACTTTTTATACATCAGAAGATTTTCTAATCTCTTCAAAAAGAGAAATCTCGAGGAGATGGGTGACACCAAATATTTTTCCCCCCTTCCCTTCTTCAGGGAGATATTAGTGAATGCCCTCAGAAAAACAGAGCCAACATATACACATATCTGCACACATACAGTAACTCTTTTGGGAGGTGTTATACTTTGTAGATTGCCACTTCTCTTCCTCAGGACAAGACAACTGTCATGATCACAGAGGGGATTTACATTAAAGGATGATTTGATTTGGAGGCAAGAGAGCGCAGAACCAGGAGTACTGGAAGAAGGGCACCAAATCAATTGTGGAAGGTTGTGTCATCATTAGTGAACTTCTAGACACCTTTTAGAGGTACGGCATGAATTTCAAACCTAGCCAAAGTTGTTTTACCAACATAAACTGTTCAGCTGCTTTCCTTGTCTGTTATAACCCTCCCTGCCACCTTCTTGGTTTGTTTTGATTTTTATAAACTGTGGGATCTTTGGTTTAGGTATCACCTCACAGTAACCGCATCACTCTTGTGAATACTGTGTGAGAGTTGTCTTTCCTCCTTCATTTTGTACTGTCTCTAATTCAGATATAATGTCAAACTGCAGCAGGAAATGAAGCAAGGTCTAAGGTTATGTCTACACTACAGTTAGCTGAGGGGGGCAGCTGGCACTTAGATACAAGTATGCAGATTTTTTTGCCATAAAGTCCACTACAGAGTATTCCTACAGCCTCCTGATTTTATGCCTTTACCCAAGTGTGGGCACGTACCCCTGGGCCTCTCTGTTGAGACCTTCTTGGATCCTTTCACTCTCTGGTGTGAAATAATTTCCTTTTAGAAGAACTATGAAAAAGCGTAGGAGGGCTGTTCCTGCTTCCTCATTGCAAAGCGATTGCATTCAAGCCTGAGGTAAAGCAGGACATGATTTCTAAATCCATACCCCTCCAGCCTGGGTTTAAACAACACTCTTAAACCAATGGGCCGTTTTCTGCAAGAAAGAGCCACAGCGCACGGCTCAGATTATCTAACATAGGTGAAACGCCAGTTGCAGTTACAGCCTTCCAAAATAGCTACTGGAGCGATGGAGCTTACAATGGGGAAAGGCAAAGAAAAATCTGGGAGGAGCTAAAGGTGAAAAAAGATAATCTGGGAGGACCTAAGGAGGCAGAAGCTGCTGTGTGCCATAGCATGAGGCTAGAAGAGACAGAGGTGCTGCCACCAGCCAGGCTGCTCCCAAGCCAAACAGAGGAGCTAAAGTTACAGTGACTTTCACCCTTCACTGTTTGGTGGCCTTTGTTTCCAGCGAAGGTGTAGCCCTGATGAATTTAAGCATAGTGAGAATTGGCTGTTCTTACTCATTCTTCAAAGCTTTTTCTGGATCTCTTGGACTTTACAAGCTACAGGATGGAAATCGCTGGACAAAAACAGGTGAATAAGCAAAACGAGAGATTTCTTTGTGTTATTAGCAGCGTCACAAATGCTGTATGCCTGGCGACAAGGACTCAAGCTAACAAAGGCAGTACGCTGTGAGCTATACGCACTAAGGAGCTCAGTCCCCACCAGCTACCTCAGTCCCCTAGACCTGAGGGAAGCAGAAACCAGGCACCACAGGTAAATCCCAAGGCGCCATCTCAGGTGCACAGACAGCTCAGGGGACGGGGAGCGCAAACCTCTCCCATCATTTTTAATGCCAGCCCCTGGGGAAGGAGCGCCCTGCAATGAAACCCTACAGTGTTCGCTGGTGTAGTTTCACCTGAGGGCATCCCGGAGTGGGTGGAAGAGTTCTGATTTCCCTCGGGAAAGCGCTGGCGGGTGGCAGGGGCACACCGGTGCCGGGAGCGGCCGAGGAGGCATCCTGCCCTCCTGACCCCAGCTCCTTGGGGCCGGTGACCGCCTCAACGAACCATGGCATCGTTTAGGTTGGGAAAGACCTTTAAGGTCATCGAGCCCACCCCTTAACCTGGCACTGCCAAGTCCACCGCTAAACCATGTCCCTAAGCATCACATCTACACATCTAAATACCTCCAGGGATGGTGACTCCACCACTTCCCTTGGCAGCCTCTTCCAGGGCTTGACAACCCTTTCGGTGAAGAAATTTTTCTTAACATCCAATCTAAACCTCCCCTGGAACAACTCGAGGCCGTTTCCTCTCATCCTATCGCTTGTTATGTGGGAGAAGAGACTGACCCTCCCCTCGCCGTCACCGCTGCCCCTGGGCACAGTCGCGCTGTCGCGCCCTATCGCGCCCTATCGCGCCGTATCGCCGCCCCCCCAGCCCTCCTCCCAGCCACCAGGGGGCGCTGTGCGCGCGCCTGCCCCTTGCGGCCTGCCCGGCGGCGCGGCCGTCCGGAAGTGACGCTAGTGTTTTGCTCCTCCATTTCCGGCGGCAGCATGGATATCCTGAAGCGGGAGATCAGCCGTAAGCGGCAGCAGCTGGAGGAGAAGGAGCTTGTGGGGGTGAGGGCGGCCGGGGTGGAGGCTCGGGGCTGGGGTGGAGCGGCGGGAAGGGCCCGAGGGGGAGGCTCGGGCGGCGGTGAGGCGGGATGGGGCCGGGGAAGGGGAGAGGAAGCGGCCTGGGAGAGGGGCTCGGGTGAGGGGATCCGGAGCTGCCCAGGGTGGGGGTTTGGGAGGGTCGGGGTCGGCCCGGGAGGGGCTCAGGGAAGAGGAGCGGCAGGGGCCCAGGCTGGGGTGAGGGAAGGAGTGAGGAGGAGTTTGGGGCTGGGGTCAGCGGAGCATTGGGGGCGCTGAAGCAGCCTGGCTTCAGGGCCTTGCTGTGTGGCTCTGCCTTTTGGAGCTGGCTTAGTTATTTATTTCAGGCACTGAGGGATGAGAAAAGTCTGTGTCACCTTTGGTGAACGATGCGCAGATCCCTGTCCTCGCCACAGCTGCGTTCTGTTTGTAGCAGTAGTAGGGTCGCAGAGGTGCTGGGGTGTGCGTGGGCCGAGGGTGTTAGCTTAAAAACACCCACAGTAAAGCAGAGCGATTTTGTGGATGTCTTGAGTTTAGGTTTTGGCGTTAGTGGTTGAAGTGGGGAGCTGTGATCGGAGGCTGTTGTAGGTCAGGCAGGCAAAGTATGAAGAAAGAAGTAATAGTGCATATTAATCAAGGGAAATGGTTCAGGGTGACCACAGTTGCCAGCTTTTGTGTGTGTGGAAGGTCTTGTCAAACACATTTCTACGTAGGTGCACCAAGCAAGCTTACAGAATACTCTGTGTAAAGGTGGTTTCTCCAGCCTCCTTGATTTAGTGTGAAATGACATGTTTTGTATGGTTTATTTAAACAACTTCCCTGTACTCTACGCTGGGGCTTGTTGTGCATGTCTGAACTGAAGCTTTACGCTAACGAATACCATGGCCTTACATGGCAAAGAATGTTTTTTTTTTTTAAAGTGCCGGTGAACATGTTGTACTTTTAAGTCTGCTTATACATATACTGCTGATTTTCAGAGGTGCTTCCAACTAGTTCCCTTTACATGACAATGTAGCCATCTCTATGAAAGGATGTGGCTGAATTCACCCAACCAAGTAAGGAAGTTTGAGCCGTTTTTGCCCAAGTGTGCAAAACTGTAAACTGTTAACAGTTTTCCTCTCTTTTAGGGAAATAAGAAATATTTCAAACGCAGTGAGTTAGCTAAAAAAGAGGAGGAGGCCTACTTTCAGAGATGTGGCTACAAGGTATGGTAATTGTTCTTTCAGGAATTTGTATGTTTACTTTGAAGTCTACATTTTATTATCAACAGTATAAATGTTTTTAATGATAATTGTTGTTCTTTGTTCAATCTGTTAATGTTATACATTAGCCTGTAAATGAGAAGCCACCTGGAGAGGTATGACTTTCCAAAACCATTTTCAATGCAGGGAAAGATATGCATGATATACAGCTACTTAAGTTTGTGTTATGGTTTGGCTTTTATTTCTTTTGTTTATTTTTTCGTGGAAAGCATGAAGTGGCTTGGGATCAAAGCTTGTCTTCCTTTCTTTTTAAATTGTGCTGTTAGGCATGAACACTGGATCTGATATAGCCACCTTCCCCCCCCTTTACCAGTAAAAAATGGATATATTCAGATAATTTTATCCATTCAAATAATTTTCACGGTCTTGTCAAAATGTCCAAAAGAAATCAGTATAGTGTGGGCGCATATTAAAAAGATCTGCCAACTTTCATACTGTTTATATTTGTATTTGGGTTTTGGCCATCAAACATCCAGCATTGAAAGAGTGCAACAACAGCATTTATTTTCTTGCTGGCAAAATATTAGGAAACAATTGGTAACCTAGGGTGCATTTTGCAACAAATGAGTGATCTGGAAGGCTTTATCTGCCTTGTAATGGTGTCAGGGAAATGGTTTACTGAAATGGAAAGAATGTTGTTTTCTTTTACAAGTGTGTGTGTCTGCCTGCCTGCCTGATTATACGTGTATGGGAGGGGGTATGCATTCCCTTGTGGAAGGTGGAGGCTCGTAATCTTGTTTGCTGTTCCTGGGCACAAATAGGAGCTTTGTTTTCAATTGAACTTTACCTAGTTAGTGACTTATTCTGAAACCCTGATCTGTTTGTAGAATATTTGAACATCAATGCCAAAATGATTCTTGGAACGTGCAGCATATAGTCATGAGGAAGTTTTCTGTGAATCCAGTCGCTCTTCCAAGTGGAAATGACTACATGATGCTTTTTGAGCATTAGCTTGAGTTCTTCAGAACCTTACATGGCAGTTAAAGTGCCATTACCTGTGCTGCTGCAGCACCAGTTTTGGTTTGAAATGTAACCCTGAGAACGGTTTTAAAATAAGTTGCTTCTTTAAATTTAGTACCTTTTTAGAGCCTCCCAGATTTCTGCATTTGATCTTTACTACATTAATAAGATGTAGAATATAGACTGATTTCTTTTTAAATTCAGGTGCGTTTTTGCTTTGCTTAGACTTAATAGGCTGTAATAATTTGACTTGCTTGAAAAAGAAAGCACTGAAACCAAAGTAACTGTGGTAAAGATATTGCTTGTAACTTGGAGTCCAGCTGACAGAACGGATCAAATCTTTTCCCCCCATGCTGCTGTCTCTTTATGATTTCAAGAATGTTTGTAAGTTAAAATTTGTATGTATCCTTCTGCCATGGGAGTGTATTTATTTATATATATTTTTTTTAATTTTTTTTTACACAGTTCTTCCATATTTTCTGTCCCCTGTCAGTTCCCCCTTTCCTGCATTGATGGAAGTTTTATTTTTCTCCTCCCTTTGTGTGAAGCATTGATTTGATTGTCTTTCCCTTACTTGTTCCAAACACCTGTGGTTATAGGATTGATTTCTGTGTTGGCTAGTACAGCACTGAATATAGATTTGTGGCCGAATCCTGTAGCTGGAGCCACAGGGGTGGATCCTTACATCCACATGGAGTCACACTGACACCGGAGTGCAAGACTGGCACATTGGCCTGAAAGAATAGAAAAACTTCTTTAAAAAAATTTGTCTAGTACATTCTTCAAACTGATCAGCCCAAATACAGACTGGAAATGACAACGTACTGCCCATGCACGGAGAATGCTACAGGGTGCTGTAGGATTAAGTGGAGCATTTCACTCTTAGCAAGTATGGAAAGGAAATAAATTCTAGTCAGGAATCTAGGAAAAAACAAGATGTGAGTGAGTACTGGAAATGTTTCCTTATTATAGGAATATTACCAGCAGCAATCTGCTCATGCTGTCAGAAGTGTAAAATTTGAGCTTATAAAGGGAACTGTAGTTACATGACTGCTGTCTCAAAGTTACTTTGATCAAAGAGTTGTTTTGCATTATTAAAATACTGAGTAATGAAGAAGGAAAGCTCTGTTTGATTCAGGGACCTTCTTTTAGATTAAGAGGAGTTGTTAATGAGATCCTATCCCTATGAGGAGTTGTAGGTGTCTTTTTTTTATTAAGCCGCAAGAAGCTATGGCAATCTTGTTGGAAAGATGTGTTGCCTTAAACAAGCACCTATCAGGACCTGATAGAAGCCATGGATCGCTGCTAATTGTACTCAGCTTGCTGAAGCTGTAGGTAATAAACTTTTTAAGCTGACACTGCCACCAAAAGAGGCAGCCCCACTCTCTCCCTGCCCTTAGGTTTTCGTTTCTGTCCTTGTGTTCATGCATGTGCTATGCCTGGTGAGCTGGATGAGGAGGTTTAGTGGGCTGGGAAGAGTACCTTTCTTTGTGTTTGCTAGATTATTTTCTGTTTGAATCATTTCTTCCACCTGGTTCATCACATAGCGATGCAAATGCTTTTGCATGGGTAAGGATAGAGCAGGGGCAGGAATCAAGAGGCAGAGGGTGGATTTGCTATTTCGGGCACCAGTGCTGACATCTGCCTGCTAAAGTGATTGCCAAACTTCAGCAATTGTCCTTTCCATTTGCTATAGAGACTGCTTCCTGCAAGATCCACAACTTAGTTAAATACTGGTACTTTTAAAAGCTTTTATTGTTCCGTGAAATTCAATTCTAGACAATAAAGACTATGAAACTAGAAGTTTATATTGTCGTATTACAATCTGTGTTCTAGAGTTCCAGTATCTTTACATTGCTGTCAATATATGGGTTTATTTCCTTTGGCCCATTAGTAATTATGTCTGTTGAATGTAGGTACAGCAGCAAGAGGAGGAGGAGAAGCCACTGACTTCATCGAATCCAGTGCTGGAACTCGAACTGGCAGAAGAAAAGTTACCAATGACCCTTTCCAGACAGGAGGTAAAATCAATCATCATAAACAGACTACTTGAGTTTACAACAAATGCGTCTGAAATTTCTTGTTAGGGCTGCTTTTTATAGTGAAGTGTATTTTTTTTTATGGCAGTTTGTATAAAATAACAAGCCTCCATTTTTACAGTCAACAATGGTCATCTTTGCTCATCAAGGATCTGCTGTCCAATTGAATGCATAGGGAGGTACAGATAGGTAGAGCCTCTGTGCTGTGGATTTGCACAGGTGTGCTATAACATTTTACAGCTTTTTCAGATGACTTCTAGGATAGTACCCTGAATATCAGTATTATGCTTACATAATAGTGAAGATGGCATGCTGTTTTTTTCCAAGATTTTTTTCCCCTAGCTTCTTTTCTTTGTAGCTCATTGGTCTGAACCCAAATTTAGAAACCAAGTTTTGGAAGTTCACCTTGATTTCTAGAAGAAAAAGTCCTGAAGCCAGAGCAGCCAGTGTTTTCTTTGTCCCTTCTAAGGATAAAAATACCTATGCGAATGTGAGTTCACAAACAGATCTGTACTCCAAAGCAGAAGACAAGCTGGAAGTTCAGAAGTACAGAATAAATTCCCATCTTGGAAGTACTGAAATTCATAGCTGAAATCATCCACAAATATCACATGACCCTTAATTTTGCAAGATACTTCCTGTTTTTTACAGGAATATATCACAGGATTTGTAATGTGGGCTGTTGGTTTCATGTTTGGTCTGTATGTCCTGTGTAATGTTCACTGTCTCACTATTGATCTACTTGTGTGCATGTTTTGGTCGAGGTTTAGGTGTTGCTGTGCCAGCACTCTATCCACCCCTGGTTCTGTGATACGTGTACAAGTCAAATACTCGCCAACATACAGCAAGACACTTGAACTGAGTAAACGAACTAATGTCTCAATTAATTTAGTTTCTTATTGTCCAACCAGTCTATTGTTATAAGGAAGTAGTGGCATGAAATGAAGTGTAAGCCCTTCTCTTGATCACCGAAGTATTGCATGGTGATTCATGTATCAGTAAGCCTATTGCTTGGTACAGTACATGAATAACGATAAGTATAAAGAGATCTAGAAGCAATGCATGAGATGAGGAATTGGGAGAATAAAGTTCAGTTTTTCGCTCTGCCCGTGACACTGCAAATCAGCCAAGGCAGGATGTTATGCCTCTGTTACATCTAGTTTTAAAGTAACTATCACATTAGATTATGGGACTTAACATTTGCCAAATGCTTAAGGGTGAGAATTCTCAGGAAATCAGTCTTGCAGATGTGCTGCGACAACCTGCAGCCTAGTTAGGGAGTATTGTTATTGCCCTGGACACAAGTAGGTGAGTGAGATTATCGTCAAGTTCCTTCGTGATTTTGAAAACAGTTTTTAAGCTCTGCCAGAGGGATGATTTTGTGTTTAAGCAAGTCAGAGCAGGTAGAAGTTAGACTATACTAAACAGCTTGGGATTTTATGCAAAATTTAGATTGGTAATATTTGGAATGACCTTTCACTGAAATACCGTGGGAATTTTATATTTAGGTTGTAAAGTGACTGGAACGTTTTTCTACTCCTTAAAATATTGCCATTTCCTCTCCAGTCCAGCTCAGCTTGTTATTCTAAGCAAAGTAAATAAATCAATCCTTCTGGATTTTATTTTGCTTCCTTTACGAGTTTGCATAAGGGAATGCTTTGATTCTTTTCAGGTTATCAGGAGGTTACGAGAGAGAGGTGAGCCGATCAGACTGTTTGGAGAAACAGATTATGATGCATTTCAGCGTCTGAGGAAGATAGAAATTCTTGCACCTGAAGTGAACAAGGTAAGATTGGCTAGCTATTAGTTACTTACTTGTAGTGGGATTACCAATAAGGAGCCCTATAGAAGTTAACTGAAAATCAGTTTAAGTAACTGTTAATTTTCAGGAGGGAGGAGTAGTACAGAGCAAAGAGAAATATCTGCTCCGTCTCATTTATTGGCTTAGGAAGTTTGTTAAATGTCATAGTTTTGTGCACAATTACAGTTCCTTATGTTAGACAGTTCAACCCTAGAAACCTCTAAGTAAGCCCTTTTCAGTTGAAAGAGGGAGCTCCAGGTGGCAGTAATACCCCAGCCTGTGCTGTTACCTGCTTTTTAACCAGCAGAGAAGACAGTCATCTACTGTTAAAACTGTCCTGTGTTTGTGATTAAATGCATCTCTGAGAAGGTACAGGTAAGTAAGAGGACTGCATACTGTCTTTCTGGTATGTAAATGATTTTTCAAATCCCTTGATTCCAGAGGTATAACTTATTATGGAAACTTCATTTTTCCCCCCTTCCCTTTAAAGTAGCCATCAAGTCAAAAAATGACTGAAAGATGTAGTTAACTGATTTACTCCTTTTGTCTTAAGAATTGATCAGTTAAGTGAGGCGGTGCAGTTGGGGTTTGTTTTGCATTCACTGTTAACCAAATTTGCAACCCAGCTAAAAGAGTGACAGTTTGGATTTTCTTCCCTAATTTGTGGCAAACTGAATTGTTTGAAACGTCTTTGCTGGGGCTGCCCAGAAAAGGAAAGCCTTTTCCTGTTCAAGTCTTTTAAAAAAGGTAAACAGATTGATCTAAATGTTTATTTAAAAAAAAAAAAAAATTCTGCTAATGACAGCTTCCCCTCCAGTGACATCGACAACAATAGTAGGAGTATTAGGAAATAGTGAGCTCATAAATAGGATTGCATTGGATTTTGTTACGTGTTTCAGTCGCTCCTGCTGCTCTGTTGCTTAAAGTGTAGACAGTTACTACAACCAGTTTTTGGTTCAGACATTTTCAGACTGCTAAATGATCAGTAGAAACGCTCCAGACAGTCAAGCATGATGATGGAAGAGCAGAAATAGCGGTGCATATCTACTCCCAGCGGAGTGGCTGAATTTATCTTAGGGTAAAAATCTCACACTCCCTATAAAGGAGTATGACAAGTGGTGTGAGAAGCAGAAAAGGCCTTGGCTCTGCATGAGCACTGCTCAGCAGTAACTAAAACATCTCTGCATTATCAACACTGTTTTCGGCACAGATCCAAAACATAGCCCCATACCAGCTACTATGAAGAAAATTAATTCTATCGTAGCCAAAACCAGCACAAGCTTTATATTTTATGTCTCAAGAGTGCAAGTCCTCTAACTGTGTCTAAGCCGAGTTTCTTGTTCTATTTAAAAGCAGCCCTTAACTTTATATATATGCTTTCAAACTGATTCTAATTTTTTTTTAATCACCTATTCTAGAGTAGGGGATTTTAAACACTTCATCTATATAAAACATTCTGCTATGTTTAAATCATTGGTAATAAAGGGAAAGTGCATAAATGTTTTATGTGATAGTACTGAAGGAGTGTTGCTTACCTTATTTACAGCTTTTTTCAGGGTAGATGTGAAGACTTGCAGAGCTGATGGTGGTTATGGTCTATTTTCTGTTTGGTTTGGGGTGGTTCAGTGCATCGCTTGGAGAAAATGTCTTGAAGGAATTCCTAGAAGTCGATTCAGTCCTCCATGCTTTTCTGGTGAAAATATGGTAAAAGGTCTTTTTCATAGGTATGAACATTGCAGAAGTTGATGCACCAGCTTTTTGTTAAGTGCTGAAGCAATCCAGAACTTGTTCTTTGCATTCAGTTTAAATTCAGACAACAAAGCTAAACCCTTATGCATGTTTTTACAGAATTCGGCTTTTCTTAAACAGAAGTTGGACGCTCACAGTGCCAGTACTGAACTGCTTTTATTTACTTGAGATTTTTTTGTAAATTAGTCATTTCTTATCTTTTCTAGGGCCTGAGAAACGACCTGAAGGCTGCTTTGGATAAGATTGACCAGCAGTATCTGAACGAAATTGTAGGAGGCCAAGAAGCAGGAGACGATGACTCACAGAATGACTTGAAAGTCCATGAGGAGAATACTACTATTGAAGAACTAGAAGTATGTGATGGGTAGAATTTAATTAAGGGATTATAGATGTAGTATATTGTTGTGAGAAAGCTTCAGGATTGTTTACAGAAGTCATCTTGTTTTCAACATCTAACTTAGGCATTCTGAAGTATCCTTAAATAAGCTCTGTTAGGCAATTTAGGTTTCTAAGATTTGAGTTGCACCATAGGTGCCTACAGTAGACATGTGAAAACTCAAGTGGTCTTTGTTTACAACACCTCATGAAAAAGCGGGCAGGAGTTGCCTGCAAGGAGAGTGATACAGTTAGGATTCCCTCTGCAGGGAGTTTGGAAGTAGAGAATTTAATAAAAATACATTACCTGGTCATAAATTCTAAAGCCTTTCCAATGAGTATTTGAGAGGGTAATAAGCTTAGTACGAATGAATTTTCCCTATACAAGAAAGACGGACTCTGAAAAATGGACACACAAAAAGAATGTTTGATATAAAAAAAAAAAATCCAAGACCAAAAAAAAAAAGTGGACGTCACAAGTAGAGAGGTCACAGGAAATACAAGAATTGCAGAGACAATGTGTCCTAAAAACTTCAGTGCAAATGGCTACTATGTTCTGAAACAATACCATGGTGTTTGTGTAAGTGAATGTAGAATGAGTGCCATGAAATGCATTCAACACCTGGTATTTTAGGGTAATGTTTTGAAAAGCGCATTAACTTCAGCTGAAGACTTTTACCCTTAATCTTCAAAATTCTTTGCAGGAGTTAATCTTCATAACGTCCCTCCAAAAGTGTGTTTAAGAAATAATCTGATTTATAACAGAAAGCCTAAACGAATACATTATTACTAGGAGATAGTCTCTGGGTTTTTTGTTAGGGTACCAGGGGTTCTGGTTTAAAATAACTGTAGTACCAGAATGGATACCAGTTGTAATGGGGCTGCATTTTATTGATTTGTTAGTTCTCAGAATATCCCCTTTTTGGGGTAGTAGGGCAGGCTTAGTTTGAGCCATGAAAGTAATCTTTTTCAGAAAAGTTTGAAAACACTGCAGTCTTAATTTTATCCTACTTTAACTGCATTCCCTTGAGCATAAAGGCTTACACTGAATTGGGTTCCAAATCTAGGAGATTTTTAAAAAATAAAACTCCCTTTGAAAATGTGAGGGCAATGGAAAAAGATTATAAATCCAACTATACCTACTGGAAAATAGTTCTAAAGTTGCTGTTACTATTAACAGTTTTAAGGTTTTGGCAGGAACCTAGAGTATTGGTGCATACTACTGGGGTTTTTTGGTGGTGTTTTTGTTTTTTTAAGGTTTGTTCCCTCAATTTCACAGTTACAATTAAATGAAATGGTAAAAAGCCCCAGTATATCAGAGAATTGGAATAGCTTAACGAAATAACTAGGTTAATTGATGGCTTTGGGGATACCAAAAAATGCAGTGCACCCACAGTTCCCCTTAATACAGTGGTGTCAGACAGCTGCTGGTTATGCCAATAATTTAGTAGTTAATGAATGAAAAAGTACTGTTGCATTGACTTTTCAGAAACAATCCTATTGGCTTTTTGACTTAAATGTTTTTAATAGATTAATGAATCTCAGTAGCATATATAGCTGTTTCATTGCATTTTCTGACTAGTGTTTTGGATTACTGGTGGAGTTTACTACAGTTCACGATGCAGTGAATCAGGCTCTGCTGTGGTGGTGATGGCAAACTTCTAGACAATGTGGAAATAATTGCCTTTTTTGTCCTGTTCTAGGCTTTGGGAGAATCCTTAGGACGGGGTGATGATCACTATGATATGGACATCATAACGAAATTTTTGAAGGTAACAAACTCTATCAGATTAATTATTCTGTAGCTGTGTCTTTTTTTTTTTCTATCATGCAGATACATTTTTTGTGAATAGAAGGGACAATTTCAGTTGCTTGGAGAGAAAAACTCAGACATTGTGCTTAAGATGTGGGATTTTTCAAATGCTTCGCACTCCACAGCCTTGGTTAGTTACAATAGTGACTTCTGCTAGGCCTGGGAAAGAGCTGTTGGGAGAGCAGCGTTCTTCAAAATCTGGTCCTACTTTTCCAGAGAAAATAAATATGGTTTTGATTTCTGTATGGTAATTGAGGCAGTTGTATGTAGTTGCTTCTATGTACTACTACGGCATTAAAAACTTCCAAGGAGTCCCCACCTCCCTTCTCCAGGAACAGTGCAAGCTGAAATGAAATGTCACTTGGTTCTCTTATGTGAAATAAAAGAATTTTAAAGGAAGTCCACTGGCTTTGCTGAGGAAACAGATTCAAGTGGACGCTAGAAAACTGTTTCCTTGTTTCCTGGCAAGAAGGCTGGATTGCCTATCATTTGAGATGGTCCCTGTGTAACTATTGTGATGATCAGAAGTCACAGCAAGAGTTGAAGCTTTCATTTGTGGGTATCAGATATGTTGGCATTTTAATATAGTTTGGGTGGGGCAGTCAGACAAAGAAAGCTGAAAAATTGTTTTCCAGGTGGAGAGAAGGTACGTTTGACATGTTTGCTTTCTGTTGTGTTGAATTTTCACTGTGATTTTTATTGTTCCTTGTGCTCTTTCTCAAAAGTTACCCTGAAACATCAGCATTCTACTTGGATTTCTGCTCTTTTTATGTCCCCCTCCTCCTTCCCAGCACTGATACCTACACTGTTGTTTCCTTGTACATGCTTTTTTTATACATGCTCCTCCTTCGCCCGTGTGTTTTTGTGATAGGGTTGTTCATATCCCTCCTTGCCTATCCATCTGAAAGAGGCTTCTTGCCTTTTTATTTCGGATTTCTCCAAAAACCTCATTTTGCCTTGATGGCTTAAACCGCTGTTCCCATCTGTTTTGCCGCGGTTGTCACTAGATGGCACTATGACATAAATTTGCTTGTTCCTTGTAGTTTCTTCTTGGAGTTTGGGCTAAGGAGCTGAATGCCAGAGAAGACTACGTGAAGCGGGGAGTACAGGGGAAGCTGAACAGTGCCACTCAAAAGCAGACGGAATCGTACCTGAGGCCACTCTTCAGAAAACTTCGGAAAAGGGTGAATCACTTTTAAATGTCACTATCCTGTAAGACTTATTTTAACTTCTGCTTTCAAAGTACCCAGTGATTAGTGCCCTTTCCTAAGGTAATGTTATCTTCACTGAAGAAGAGAGGATAAGCGAGTTGGTCAGAGTTTCTGTGTCTAGAGCCCATGACTCCCAGTTCTGACCTTTTTGTCGTGACGAGTGAATTCTTCTGCCTACCCACTGCTTTTCCAGGTGTTGCTTGATGTATCACCTGTTCACTAGGTTGCAAACATGATGGAGAATTGGGATTGTATTTTGCACTTTGCCACTAGCTACTATGTGTAACCACTTAACCTCTCTTGCTTCTCAGATTCTTCATCTAAATAACAAAGATGTTTTCCTTTGTTAAAGTCCTCAAGCTAGGGTAGGCGCTAAACGTTGTATAAATGCTGAGTATGATGATTTTCCTGAGCTGCTATTCTGAAGTAAAGATGTCTTCTTTTTTTTATCTCCTTCTTCTTCTTCTCCTGTAGACACTTCCTGCCGACATCAAAGAATCAATAACAGATATTATTAAATTCATGCTGCAAAGAGAATATGTGAAGGTATGTTTGTTTGCACTCTTCCAGCATGTTCAGGCTGTCTGGTTCCAATAGATTGAGTTTATTACTTCAACATTTCCTATTTTTTTTTTGCATTTTGAAGATACATAGCTGGAAATACACACAACGTATATTCAAAAAAAAAATGAAACATGGTTGTTAAAGGTTAGGCTCCAGGTAGTGTTTGATCCACGGCCTGTCAGAAGATCTTTTGAGGTTGGTGAAACTGCAGAGCTTTGCAAGCACAAATAGAATTTTTCTCAGAGATGGTTATATTAAGTTGCAGAGGAATCCTGTATGGGTAACCTGGTATTGTAAGGTTAAATGAAGGTATTGAATTAATAGTAATAGAGTGTTGATTAATTAATTAGGAATTAATTTGAGGTGAACTGAGTTATTGAATATGAGACACTGTCCCTTTCTTTGGCTATGCTCACATTAGCTGCTCTGGTAAGGTTAAGGTAAGTTAACGAAAAGTTGTTTTGGACAAAGTCTGCTTACTGGAGGAGGCAGAAGTACTTTGGCACACAAGATCAAAGGCAGTGTTAGGTTTTGTTTGTAGCTGCCTTCAGAAGTGGAACTCAAATACCGATAGCATTTGCTTAAGCAGCTTGTGTATGCAGAGGAAATTGAGTTGTGTTTTGCCTTTAAATCTAGTATTTCTTATTATTCTTGTGAGGACTTGGGATAATTTGTCAAAAAAGCAAGCAAACCTGCTTTTGTTATTGAAAAAACTTTAGAAGGCCTAAGGCAAGTTTAATCCAAATCACTTGACAATAGAACTAAACATGTGGGATGTATGATAGTGGGGGTTTGTTTTGGGGCTTTTTTTTTTTCTTTTGGTCATCATCATTATGCTGAAATTCCCTTTCCGATGCCTTCCCAAAACAAGCAGTGAGTGTGTGGGAATGTGGCATATCTCATGGGTTAGTCAGCTGTGCTTTTTTCTCTAGGAGGTGCTTGGCTTTATGTAAACTTCACAGGCTGACTTGGGGAGGGTTTGAGTACCTATTTGGAAGTTTTGGGGTTTTTTTAGTTAGGCTAATGAGCCTTGTGCTTTTAAAGATACTCATATCCTTTTCTATTTTGCTTCTTAAGAGACTTGTCTATTTCTGCCTGATGTTGTCTTCTGTGCTTTTTTTGCTTTGTGCAGCCTAGTGAGTACTACTGTCAGCCACAAATTCTTACTGCTTTGTTAGATGAAATGCTCGAAAGATTTAAATTTTGAAATCAACATGTGACAGTAAGCAAATGCTAGAATGCAAGTTGTCCAGTCAACCTTGATTAACCCTGTTGTGACAGTCCTGGAAGGGTCTTTAATTGCATGTTCATGTACTATGTTTCATCACAAAACTATATTTAAGTCAGCAAGTAGACACTTGACTAAGACTGTTCAGACTCAGCATCATGTAGGTGAAGACTAAGTCCTGTCCCTTCTTCAGGTTTACTCCCAGCTCTGTCTGTGGTCCCCCTGCCTCGTTCATTATTCACCTCTCAGTTTGCTCAGTGCCAATTGGGAAGAAGCTGCACCCACTGGTCATGACTGCTACTTCTCGTTGTTTAGTCTCTAAATGGGAGATGATAAATGAACTCCTTATCAGTGAGTCTTGTAGCTGCTTGCTAACAGTGGTGGAATGTCCTGCTCCAAGTCCTTCTTGAAGCTGCTTCTGTAATCACATGTATGTGTCTGTCCCTCTTGCTTCCTGGTTCTCAGTTGTCATGGCTTTTTTAAGCTCTGTACTTCTCTTCCTTTCTCCCTTTCTTTCTACTCATTTTCCCTTCAAGTGTTATCCTTGTTCTTCCCCAGGGATGTTGTCTGCTACAGCTTTAAGTTAATAAACGGTGTCTGCTATCTTGATCAGGAAATTTCAGACTCATTTACTGCTGCTACTGCTTTGTTCATAAACACTGCTACAAATACGCTTATTTAACCCAGTTTTGTAGAGAGCTGGTTCTTGGCCTCTTTGGAAGCTTGCTTCTCTCCCTGAGAGCTGTCAGGCCCCAGTGTACTCCTGTGTACCGGGTGACCTCAGTTCTGCACACGCAGCATGGGCCTGCAGTGGGTTGTGCTTACAGCCAGGCTCCATGTTCTAGTCTGCAACCAAAACAGCAAGGGTGTTGAAGGTGATTATAGCAGAAGAGCTTATGGGAACCTGAGAAAGCTGAGGTGAAAGTAGTCCCAGTAATATTTAGTTTTAGTCAATATTAGACTGCCTTATCGAGTGCTTTCTTTCATCACCCTATAGGTAAAGTCCATAGTCCTTGCTTCCCTCAGAGTTCAGCATAAACATGAATCGTGTTAGGAAGGTGTGTTGTAAAATTGGTTAATATTGTGCAATGAAACCTGATTTGGAGAGACTGGAATATGTGGTCGTGTTGTATGTGGCAATGCAAAAATGCTCAGCTTTCTGATGCCCTTTCTGTTTTGCTAAGTGTGCATGCACTGTATTCCTTCAGGCAAATGATGCCTATCTTCAGATGGCTATTGGAAATGCTCCCTGGCCTATTGGTGTCACTATGGTTGGCATCCACGCTCGAACGGGTCGTGAAAAGATTTTCTCCAAGCACGTAGCCCACGTTCTCAACGATGAAACTCAAAGGAAGTATATTCAGGTAATGTTAGCTTTGGAAATCTCAACAGATTTGCTTTTGAAGTTAGGGGATCTTTGAGAAATGACTGGGTTCATAGTTACAGGTGATGTGCTAAAAAGGTCCTACAAACGGACAGTTGGCTTAGTTTGGGTCCAGCATAACATCCATTTACTAGGTAGCTCATCCTGGACCTGAAGGCTCTTCAGTGCTGGGCTAGGAACAGAGTCTGATGGGTTTTTCTATGTCTTGACTATTGTGATCCTGTATGAGCACCAAAGCAGCTGTAAAGACTTGCTTTATTGTCCTGAGTTCCTTCACTGTTTGACTCCTGGTTTTAACATCACGTGTGGAATTTTATACCGTGAAATACAGTCCTTCTGACTATTTCTGCAACTAGATAAATTCATTCATTTTCCAAATTTGTTTCTTTAACAGTATGGGCTCAAAATTCCAGGTCCAATTCTTCCTATGCATATTCATACTCACGTCATGGACTTCTGCTGTTTGTGGAATTAATAGCAGTAGTTTTTCCTCTCCGATGTTTCAGCGTAATGGCTGGATGGGTCTGAGGAAACAAGTCTCTCCTTGTATTGTTAAATGTATTTGCTTCTTGCCAGTTGCATTTTCATTGAGATAAAGACCTTCTGGCTTAACTCTGAAGTCTCCAGAGCAGCATTGCGGCGTTCAGAGCTGCCGGCAGGATCTTGCTGCTGCGGCAGAAGCACTCCTGTTGCTTTTCAACTTCTGCAGATGTCTGCAAGCGGATTGCTTGTAAAATGCAGCTTCTTCTACCTTGAGTCTCTTTGTATTGGGGCTACAAGTATAACCTTTGGTTTCTTTTCAGCTGTAGTTTTTAATATAACCTGTCAAAAATATCATCATGAAGTCAGAGGGAGCTCCGGACACTTACAGAGCCAACAAATTAAAATTGACCAATTCTTTTGTAAGGTGAAAATCATCATGTGGACTACACATCTTCAGAGACAGGCTCCAGTTAGTGTAATACTTGCTTGGAAGTATTTAATGGATTAAATAGCTTATGTTAAACCAAACAGTTCTGTTGTTAGTCTGTGTTAAAAAAGGAATTTGAGCTCTGAAGGAAGATTGTTGTGGGCTTCAACGTGGCCATAATGCTTCTTCTCCAGCTTCGGTGAATAATTGGCCATCTGTGTCCATTTGCCACGCTTCTAGCAGAAAGGTCTCTACCCTGTAGCGTTGCTTGATCTCTCTTAGCCTGCCCTTTGGAAGATATGGTGTATATGCATTCCTCACTTTGTCCCTTATCTGCTTTTGGGGTTACATCTGTTGGTCAAGGAAATTTTTGTGTTCATCTTCCCACTGTGAATTTCATATCTGTGCTTCTGAATTACACAACTTACTGAAGCGCAAAGACAGAGTTGGCTTTAAACACGTATGTGTTGGTTTTAAATATCAGGTCTTGTTTAGCTAGTCTGGTTCAAACTGGAGCATGGAATATTATGTGCTCCCAGCAGTCACATCAAGCTAACATGTTTCTGATTTACAACAAACCTGGGATTGTAACATCCCAAACAAGAAGTCATTATGGTGCTAGGACATATTTTCCAGACTTGCCTGCATTGAGGAGGCCAAAGCATACTCTGTTGAATCATTTTCCTTTCAGTGAGGAGCCGTCTTCCATGATGAGTGTCTTAATGACAGGCATATGACTCTGCCATCTTGCAGTACAATGTCACTGCTAAATTACGATACCACCGCAGCAGTTTTCTTTCTTCTTTGTTAGACTTTTATGCTTGACTTCACTGAAACCCTGTGATTATTTTCTTTCATGTTGTTTTTTGGCAATCGATGCCTTCAAAGAACAGAAGAGAAAAGTTGAAAAGTTGACATGCTGCCTTTCTTCTTGATTACTTCTTCAGTTTGCCTCCATGGGGTAGGTCAGGTGTGGTGCCATCGTGGGGAGGAATGACATCTCTCCTCCAGAGAAATTGTTCAGTGGTTCTTGTAGCTGTGCAGCTTGTTTTGGTGTCAGAAATTGCTTTTTGCTCTATAAAATTACTTTTAATATTCAGGTTTCTTTAAAATATCTTTTATTGTGATAGTGTTGTTTTCTCCCGTGGCAGCGAAGAGGGATTAAAGCGTTACTGTGATCCTTCGCTATGAATCTGTCATGAGGGACTGAATCTGTGGTCTCTTTGGTTATGCAGGCTCCTCTAATATTGGAGATAACTTGGCACTATGCAGACAGAAAGATTCATAAAACTTAAAACCTGGAAAAACAACCAAATAGAAAAAAAAAACCCCAAAATAGCAACCGTTTGTTTTGAATTCTTCTTATTAAGCTTAAAAATACTGTAGACTCTTAAGTTTGTTTGACAGCTGCAGTTTTATTACAGAATTGTCCTTGTTTTGTTAATTCCTAGGGGCTGAAGAGGCTCATGACCATTTGCCAGAAGCACTTCCCAACAGACCCATCGAAATGTGTGGAGTACAACGCTTTATGAGGCTCTGCAGTGTCCAAGGCGTGACTCATATTTTGATCTCCAAGACCCAGAAAGGAATGGAGAGACAGAGTTTGTGCTTTACCACCAAGAGGAACCTAGGGTGGGCTTTGCGGAAAAGCATAAAGCAGCAGATTTTCTACAGTTTCCTTTTTACAGGCCCCATTTATTTAGATTTCTTTTTAAGTCTATGCTTTACGCTGAACACATCCAATATACAGCAAAGGGGGGGGGGGGCGGTTTAAAGAGGGTATGACCAGGACAATGACCAGGGGACAATGAATGTGACCCTTGCTTTTATTTCAATTTGTTATTCAGGGAACCGTACGGACCGAACTGTTTCCCATATCGTAGAGCTTTAGGTGAGACTCAGCCCTGCAAGGAGTGTATGTGGAGTTTTTTGGCTGCTTTCCCATTGGAGACTGATGTGGGGAGATGATTAGAGGGAAGCAGTTGAATCTGAATCTTGGTTATTTCTGTAAATATGAAGACTTTAATGGCTAATCTTTCATGTGGTATTTGTCAGGAGGATTAAAAAAAAAGGTTTATGTATTTGAAAAATACAGCCAGCCTCAGTGCAAAGAGTTTTTGATCTTGAATGTATCTGATTTGGCTTTTTTTTTTAACGACAGTTTCAATATAAACCTTCTGGGCTTGGGGGAAGTAATCGTATGGCTCTTGAGGCTTTCAAATCCCATTTTTATACATCTGGAGAAAATTTCAGTCTGCTGGGCATTGCAGAGAAAATAATTAGGACCTCCCGTGACCACAGACAGTAATTCTTGCAGCCACAAATCTTTACCGTTGTGCATCTTGACTGGGAATGGCGAAGAAACTCATAGAAATGATGATGTCTAATTCTGCATTAACAATGAAATATTGAAACTTTGTTAGTGGTGCAGGTTGAAAGTCTTAGGCTGAAATAATGTGCTTTTTTTAATTACAAGAACAGCAGTACCTCTACAACACTACTAACGGGTTCTTCTCTTAAGGAGGCCTTTCTAGAACCTACAGTGAAGCTCCAAACAAGCTGTTGATCATTGCAGCGGCTGCTAATAACCGCCACTACCCATATTTGTGAGAATGCCGCCCTCGCGTGCGTCTGGCCCCACAGATCCTGCGGAGCCGACACAGAGCGCACTCCTCTGCCCCTGGAGAAGCCTCTTGTGTGGAGTCAGTGGAGAGGGGAGGCTCTGGTCCTGGCTGCTGGGGTTGGATTCAGGCAGGTATTTGAGTCTGGTATCTCACTACCATGAGGCAGCAGGTCATCTGATAGATCTGGCACTCGTGAGCTGTGGACCTGTAACCGTTGAGCTGCCACAGCAGTAGAGCTGGTACGGTGTGAGCAGAGCCACTTCCTGAAGAAACGTGTCAATATTCAAGTGTATTGGTTTGTCCGAGTCCTCACCTCGACTGGAAGCGCAGAGCAGGAACCAGTGCCCTCTTCTGAAGGAGTTACCTGTCTCCATGGGTATTTACAGTGTCCCGTGGCACAGTGAGACATGGTGCTGGGGGATTTGTGCTGGCAGTGAGCTCGGACGAGTATCTCAAGGAACTTCAGGTTCTTCTGGAGACTCTCCGGATTCTGAAGCGCCTCTTTGGACATGGGAGTTTTTCAATCTGGAATGTCTGACCCCAGAGAAAATGTCAAGAGCTTAAATGGTTAAGAAGTACTAAAAATGAGGCTGACAAGACCTAACCGGCACTTGGGGAGGGGCCTGCGGGGAATACACAGGGATTTGTGGGGAGAAGCTGGGCAGATGTCAAGAGCACGGAAGAGTTTCATTAACAGTGGTGTCTGGTGATTTTTGTGCAGTGCTCTATACAGGTATTCTTCAGAGGCATTATTACAACAGGAAACATTTATAACACCGCAACTTTATCCCTCTCCCCACCCAGATGATTTCCTGAGCTGTTTCTAAATCTTCGTCCTGACCTTAGTTTTGAACTCTTTAAATAATTGAGGGACAATATTGTCCCTCATCTAGAAGGGCTATTATTTCCCTGGAAAGTGCAGCAAGTGAGTAACCAGGGGATGGCTTAAGGAGCACAGTAACATCTGCTTTGGAGGGAACTGGATTCCTTAGGGCATCTGTAATAGTATTAGATAGATTTTTCCCTCCCGCTTTAGAACTTATTATTGAGGAGAGTTTTAATGGTACCCTGAGTACCGGTTTGAGTGGGGATGCGCCTCCTGTAGGGATGTGAATTTGGGATTGGAATGTTTTAGTCTGATCAGGTTTTAAAGAACGTAATTTAAGCAATGTGCCTCTTTGCTGACAGTCCCTGAAATACAGCTGCCTTGCTTGAATGAATCCCATGACGGAAGAACTTTATCCCCTTGCAATTCGTGGAATGGCGCTGCACGGGGAACTGAGGAACTGAAAAGTACTTTCTCACGGCATATCTGTGTAAGAGTTTCCAGCTGTCCGGCACGTGAGAGCCAGCTTCGGTCCTCGGGAGATCGCAAGCTGGGGGGGACACTGTTACGGCAGCTGCTTTTCATCATCGATTGGAGGCTCTTTGCAGCTGGATGGCCCCAAATTACAGCTACCAGACCGTGATCAAATAGTTAATAATGCCTTTTAGCCAAAAAAATCCAAAACCCACCCGAGTCTAGTTTAGGGACGAGTGGGTGTGGCACAGCTGTCATGCTGCTTGACGATTTTTGTGGGGATGGTATGTTTCAGTTTAGTGATTTAGACTTTTTCCTCTGGGCTTCTCCAGATGTTTATTTCTGATAATTCTTGCGTTAGGCGGAAATAACTCCTCTGAATCCAAAGACTCGTAGCCTTGGGATGAAGTCATGTGTTCACCATAGCGATGTCTGGAGCGGTTTTTGGACTTCAGTGCCCCTGGTCACCGTTTGTTGTGAGGCTGTGCGAGGTGGTGCTCTCAAAGTACGTGACGTCTGCCTTACATGGGTGCTGTCGTGCCTGATGGTAGTTAAATGCCTTTAATTCCTCGTTTGCTATTTGTCTATACTGCCGGAAAGGCTCTTAGGGTAGATGTATGTGAGAGGAATTTATTTTGATTGGGGACCTGGGTTCCTCTCCTGCTAGCTGCCGTTACTGTCTCCGTTATAGATCCAGTCTTGCCCAAAGAATGGACGATGGTTGAGATGTAAATGGCTTCACCCCTCGGGGGGAGGAGAGCCCCCCCACTCCCAGCCCCGGGGATGGGTACGTGGCGCCCTCCACGAAGGCTGGCGCAGGGCTGTCGGCGCCGGTGTGGGATCTGGAGCGGGCTGTTGGCTCCTGATGTGTTGCAGAGGTTGAAGAGGTGCCTGCAGCAGTATCGGAGCCACTGGCAATAAATCCAAGCTAAAGTCCCGGAGTTAGGGGGACGGCTGAAAAATTTCATCATTGCTGTTTTGTCCCATCCCAAACACTTTTGGGGATTTACTATGCAAGATTGTCCCCTGCTCAGCGATGCTGGGTGATGGTGGGGGTGGCTGCCTAGCTCTGGGTTGGTGCCACTGGTGGTTCCCTCTGGCTTGGGTGGGGTGGGGGGAGGGTCAGGTGGATGATACGATGCCCAGGTGGAAAGGAGCTCCCTGGACAGTGGGATTAAATGGGAAGCAACTGTGGTGGGCGCTGAGAAGCGCGGACAGGTCCCACAGGGAGAGCGCGTGGCTGTTCCAAACTGCCGGCCGTTGTGGAGGGGCTGTGGGGGGTCACCGCTGCCCACGGCGGGGGGAGACGGTGATAGAAAGCAGCATCCCTAACCCCGGGCTGCCGGGGAAGGCCCCTCCTGAGCTAGAGCAGTGTCTGTCGGGGTGGGTTCTTGATGCCGCCTCGGCGACAGGGATTAAACCGGGGACGCGGGGGTTTCTTCAGGATTTAACCCGAGGAGCAGGCGGGGTGAGCGTGCTGGCGCTCGGGGCTGTCCTGCAGACCTTGGTATCGCTGCAAAGGGCCTCCTGGCTCCTTAGCAGCCAACTCGTATAAGTGAGCGTTAATTCTAGTTACTTCAGCTTACGTGTGTTAGAAGTAAATATTATTTCCTCCCGGAAACCCCAGCCAGCTGCGCGCACATCTGGACCGAGCGTTTGGCAGAGGTGGTGGTGCGGTTGCCAGGGTAAGGATGCCCCTGGCCCTCCTGTGCCCTCCTGGAAAGACCACTGCAAGGTTTCATTTTGAAAATGCTTTAATAAGGAAGTGTTGACAACACCGTTTTGCAAAATGTAAAGGTAACTATACAAATTCTTAATACAAAAAGAATAAATTAAAAGCAGATCTTTTTTAATTCTGCAACTTTTTCTACAACATACATATTTTTTCCTTGATTACAGTTGAACAGAATCCAGTAAAATCATTTTCCATGCTCTAAAATCAATTTAAGGAGAGACCTAATTTTTTTCTTCTTTTTTTTCTTTTTTTAAACTAGAGAGTCCATTTTACACAACTTGTAATAAAACTATTGACATTAATATATATGTAAAACTTTACATCTAGTTAACTAAGCAGTAACTGGTCATCTGATAGCACCTGAATGGGGATCGGCTATGCCTGAAACTAAAACTAATACAGAGTGAAAACAAATTGGACTGTTTCAACATTTTCAACACTCGACTGCATATAATATCATTTAAAAATAAACCCTGCCTCCTGGCGCAGCCCGGTGCACAGACCGTACACCTGGCTCCTGCCTGAACAGAGGGAGCGCCGGACACGTAGACTAAGAATGCAATTGTGGCTTTATGTCAGATGGAGCCTTGAAAAATAAAAAAAGTAAAGGAGGGGTTAAGTTGGTAGTCAAGTGCTTGTATATAATAGCTATGTATATACCCCTCCATGTTATACTTAAATATGTTAATCTCCTATGATTAACATTTTATGTACATTTGTGTTTAATTGAATTGAGCTAAACAGTAAAACCTGTTTTACTTAATCTGTCTTTACTACCAGACTGGCTGCTCACGTGTGCCTTGATTGCAAAACAGAAAAGCAGAACACAAAGCAAAACTCAATCCATTTCTAGAAGGCTTTTTCTCTACTCGAGCCTGTCTGCAACCAGGCTAACCAAATTTTTTTTTTTTTTTTTCCTGAAGTCAGGGCTGCCACCTTTTAACCTTTGCTGCAAAACTGCCGATCTGGTCTTGGAGGAATTAACGTTTCTTCCTGTAGTGCCCAGAGGCCTCATAGTGCCGCTGTTGTTGAATTCTTTTTAATTAAAAGAAGGTACACAGAAAAAAAAAAAACCAAACCAACCCAAAACCACTTACCAGGGAAATTAAAAAGAAAACAGACAGTTGCTCAGAGCCCCTAAAAATCTGTGGGCTAAATTACTTGCCACTGCTTAATTTGGTCCTTATTTAATCCTTTCACTTTAGCTACCAAATCTTATCAGTAAATGTCACTAATCGGTACTATCTCTTATCCAGCTAAAAATCCAATTAGGAGCTTGAAATAATTCCCACGTTAAAGACCCCAAAGCACAAAGAGATGGTGAAAAAAGCACTTTGCACGTCCAGATACAGGGTGCAATCTCACCGCTGTCTTTCCAGCAAGCGGTTACGAGGCTTCAGTTGCTATCAAAGGGGGTTGTACTTCTGTGGTGATTCCTTGTGGAGGTCCAGAAGCACGAGGCTTGCATAGCTTCCTTTAAAAAACCCTTGCCAGCATAAAAAAAGTGTGCGCTTTTTTTTTTTTTTAGAGGGATAATTAATTTATGCCTGGTGTGAACATGGAAGGGTTTCCCTCCTGGCTCTGCTGTGGATTTCCCTGGACAAAGAGCAGCCTTTCTGCCCATGGCTGTCCTCATCTCTGCAAGGCCACCTCCCCTGCCTTACCGGTGATGTGGGACAGCAGCACAGCAGGCAAGCACAGAGAATGGAAGCAAACATTTCTAATAAGCGTTGCAGAAAGGTATTTGCATGAGCAGCTTGCGTTAATTGTCAGAAACCCCATCATCTTTCCAAGCCTAACGATGAAGAACCCATTCTCTTTTAATGCCTGGAATGCAGTTTTCCAGCAATCTTAATGCAAAAAGGTGTGGCAGCCCCCCAAGTCGTGGTGTTTAATTTTAAACGTTTCGCCCTACTTTGTCTGGTAGACGCTATTGTTATTCTTGGAACACACACACGCACACACACTCGCACTTTTTTTTTCTTTTTTTCTTAAAACTAAAGCTAACTTCAGCTTCTGCTTTTCACAAAGTAACCCCCTCCAGCCGTTTCTTTTAATGCCTTTCCCATAGGAAATCATCATTTGCACGCACAAACGGGGGAAGGCCGGGTACCTCCCCCCATCTAGTGGCAATAAAAACAGCATAGCACCGCAATGAAGACTAGACGTGCCAGCTTCAACATCCACCTAGATTGTGCACTTGTTCGTTACAAAAGTGTCTTTGAGGCCTTTTAAAGTTCCATGGCTTGACATGTATAAAGCATTGCTCAAAAGTATGTGTAAACTTGCAGCTCCTTCCATGACGCTCTCGTACAATTCCTTTTGGTATCAGCAGGCAGCTCTCGCTTGTGTCCAACACCTAATTTAGTTGCTTCTCTTTCTTGTGGTCGCTTCTTGCAATGGGAAAATTTGCCTAGTCTGCTGGTTGTTCAACCCCGCTGCGGAGCTTTTCCTCTTCCCGACAGACCGGTTCTCCCACACAGCAGTACACGGGGTGACGAGCCCTTTGCTACACTGGTGCTAAAGGAGGGAAGATGAGTGGAAGAGATATGTTAATGCAGCTTTACCGTGTCAATTAGATTGCGATGTGCTTTCCCTTTGATTTCACGTTAATGCTTTGTGCGGAAATCGATTGGAATTTATTGGCTGTATCGGTTTGTAGAAAGGGTTTTTTTGGCAATTTTTATCTTCATCAGAGCATTAAAAAACAACCAACGCAACCCCAACCTCTCTATGTATTGGTGTGCAACCTGTGGCAGCCACAGAGATGCTGTGAGTAGCAGTACTTGCCTCCGCTTTAGATAATGCCTTTGTAAACCTTGTTTGTCCAGTTTAATAGTAGCTTGTAGACAGCGATGCTGTGATACCAGCCCAGACCTCCAGTGTGGCTTCAGCACATTGGGTTATTTTACTTGCATGTAGGTGGGCTCAAAGCGAAGAAGGAAGTGCCGTTTTACAGGAGGTGGTCGTGTCTGCCATCGAGTTAAATGAGAGCGATGTTCTTGTAGCTAGAACTTGCTGAGCAAACTCATCCTGCCAATGTTGGTGTGGCGATCTTTGGCAGCGCAGGTCTGATTGCGAGGCTCTGACACATCCTCGAAGTGATGATATTTTACTATTACATAACAGATGCACTTTCAGGACTACGAGATCCATTTCTCAGCCTCTGTCCCATTTTACCCCCCTCCCCCCCCTTTAAACTAATGCTCTGTTGGCTTCAGATCGCACGTCATGGAAATCTTACTGCTGTTACATGCCACAGAACAGTAAGATTTGATGTAAGCCTTGAAGGGCTTCCATCGTTTCAAAGGAAAATCAATTTTTAAATTGCCAACTGACTATTAAGATGGCTGCTCATCTGCACCCGCTGCCCTGCAGGCCGTGGGAGGGATGTGCACCAGTCTGGCAATGGGATGCGCTGCGGTCCGTCGCTGTCGCGGTGGATGTCTCAGGGCCAGTGTTCTGTAAATGTCGTCTTGAATTGCATCGTGAGAAAAGTGCTTAGAGTTGAAGCTGGTGCTGGGTGACAGTGCATCTGGGTAAGGCAAATGAGAGGCAGTGAGGTGATCTCAGAATGGCATTGATGTGATTTAACTTGAGGTCAGGGGTTCACACTAGAGTCCCAGGCTTGGCTTTTTCCTGCCCATACCACTGGACATCTGCTAATTCTGGATAGAGGGGAGAATCCAGGAAACAGCTATCGTTGTAGCTCCTGCAGGAGAAAGGAAACTTCGTTAGGACAACGAGGGCTCCTGGAAAGTTCAGCCATGGGCATAAAACATCATATTACAGGCGGGAAGGAACGCAGGATATTCACAGACCCCACTGCATCCTGCAGGTACCCCCAGAGCTGACATTTGGGCTGGGCTCAGCACGCAGGACCCAGCTTTGACCCAGTTTGCTCTTGCCCGGCAGTCCCATTCGCCCCAGCAACCTGCCCGGTGCGAGGAGGCAGGAGAGAGCCGAGGTCCAGCAGCCTCTCTGCAGCCAGGGTGCCCTGAGTTTTGGATGCCAGAATGGCAATGGGCAGAACTGCTGTGCTTTCAGCCCGCTGCTGGTGGGATGCGCTACAAGGGAGCAGAGCGGCTGCTGGAGGGTGAGAGCTTGCGGCCAACCCCCACCGGCTGTGTCCATCCCACCACCCATGGTACCGCAGCTGCCGCCGCTTTCTCCGTGTGCTGCCTCTTCCCTCCCCAGGTACAGCAGCAGTGCTCTGCCCTGCCTAACAGGCTCTGTCTTGCTTTCCTGCCTGGTAGTAAGCTGGGGTAACGAGATTTTTAGTAGAATGCTCTCCAGGGAGCAAGGCTGCAGAGCAGCCCTCCTGGCCATAGACTGCAGTACCTAGTGGGACCATGGGAGGAGGAGGGCGGTGGTGCTTTCCTGTAGCACTTGGGCTCTGGGCAGGGGCTTGTGCATCACCTGGCAATCCCAGCATTACGTGACTTTCCAGGGATGAGCTAGGAAGCAACTAGTGAGAGGGTGCCAGGTCCAATGTGGAAAAGACCATGTTTTATCATAGGTAGCCTAGTCCTCATCTTGTGGCACCTCTCTTGACAAGCTACTGCTTCTTTTGCTGCATGGCTTTTTGTCTGCTTGCACAGAGCAGATGAGACAGTTTATGAGAATTTTCTTTGCTATTTATCTTAGAGCTCCGATCAGGGTCGGCTCCTGGCTTAGCCTGCAGAGCTCCTTGCCAGAAGAAAACACTGAGGTCAAAATCTTGTTGATATTTTGAAAAGTGACTGCTGTATCTGCATAGTAATATTCAGAATTGATTTTTCTCCCTCACACTTTGATTTTAACCAGCTTCCAAACTAGAGACTGTTTTGAGGCCAAAAGCGGGAGATGCGTTTTCTGTCTGTTTACTGTGGGATTCCTACTCCTTCCTTGGCTCCTTCCCCACCCTGCAGGACTGATCTCACACCTGATGCAGTCCTGCAGTTCCTGCTTCCTCTGCCCTGTTTTCTACGTGGCTTCCCTGGGACGGTGTCGAGGAGGAACCTGAGCAAGGGTATCGCCATCTGCATGTTAAAGAGCCTTTCTCTCCCAGCTCTGTGCTGCAGTACGGAGTTTTATGGGTTATCTCTAGAAAGCTGGGCTTGAAATACTTGACAGATGCCAGCTGTGAATGGTTGTAGATTCAAATGAGAGTGTCAGACAGCGACAGCAGTTTAATTAAAATAGAAATACTCTGAGGGTTTTTTTGTTCCCTCCACCCTTCCCCCTCTGTCTTCCCACAGGAACAGGGCCAGGGTTGCTCCTCGTTCCATGAAACCTCACTGCTGCTAACAGCCTCTGCTTCACAGCTCTGCTCTGTGGCAGGGAAGGAGGAGAAGGGGGTGCTTGGCACCATGGCTGGAGCGCTGCTGGGAGCTCAGTCCAGGTCCTCTGAGGCCCCTGTTTACCCAAACTTGTCACGCCGCCACGCTGCTCCCAGACTCTCCCTGCAGCACTATGCCCACACTGCTTTGAAACGTCCCCAGCCACAAATTTGCCGCTACCGCCTGCTCTCTGTGCCCATTCAACCTCTGCGCGAATGCAGGGCGGGCTGGCCCCAAGTCCTTATTCACAGGGGAAAGTGCCACAGCCGCAAACTTGCTGAAAAGGCACAGAGAGGGCTTCGAGATGCTTTCAAGTTGTTCTTCCAAGAGCTGAAGGAAGCCTTGTTGCCAAACAAACAGGCACACAATTAAAAGGGCTGCTCCTCTGGGACAGCGGGATGCCAGTTATTCACACTGTGTTCACGGACTATAAGGCAGAAGGATGAAAGAACAAAACATTCCCTTACTATACCTCTATTCATCAGTACTTTGGTGGGTTGGAGACTGAGACTCATCCATAGTGGGTGAGTTGTCTGTTGCTTCTCTGAACAAAGGAGAGCAAAAAAGGAGGAAAGAGGAGAGAGGAAATGTTAAAGAAAAGAAGTGACACAGACATTGTTACGAGCTTATTAATCCAGTGGGGAAACAAGTTGGTGAATCATCTTCAGAAAAAGTTAGTGACACAAAAACATGTTGGGGAGAACTGTCAATCTTTTGAGTTGTGCTGGGAGGGTGCAGCCTGCTCCTGCAGTGGGGGAGTTTGTGTTGTGCATCTGATGGCAAACTTTTATCTGCTCCTACTGTATTTATACATACGCCTTGGGTGTTATGCTCAGGCATGAAATAAGTGCTGATTTGTCTCCAATTCTTTTTGCACTGATTGTTAGTGCAGGGCCTAAGACAGAAATCTAGGCAACTTCACTTTCACCAGCTGAGAATTTGGCTTGATGCATTTTTGCTATGAGAGACAGGGTGTGGGGGTTTTCTTGAATGGAAACATAAGAAAAGTGGGGATTTTCCAAACAGATTTCTCAGCTGGCTGCTCACCAGTTTTACTTCTGATCATCATGGAGATATTTGCAGGATTAGGATTGGGTTGGAGACTGACAGCAAGATTTGAGTCTGGACTCAAACCCTTAATAGTGGAAATTTCAGTGTACAGTAAAGATAGCTGCCACTTTGCCTATCTATCTTGCAATCCCTTGACTTTTTGTGAAATGGGACCAGGAAAATTCACCTGTTCTAAAGCTGGAAGCACACGCAAAGACCATGTGAGGCTGGATGTCAAATGTGTGAATTTAAAATCCAAGGTAGGCCTAAGGGGGTTGTGGTTATGGTTCTCCTCATCTCCATTTTAAAGTGCAGTCATGAGCAGTGCTGGAGTAAAACCAGAGGTCAAATGTGGTCACAGATGACCAGAAGAAATTAAAAAGCATGAGAGTTTCCAGTGGCTGCACAGTGAAATGTTTGCAAAGTTACTGGTCCCAATTCACGACTCAGGGGATCATATTTGTTTTTCTCCTCTAGGGCCTGTGGTATTTTGAGGACTGTAGTCTGAAACTTTCTAGCTGATCTCACCAAATCAATTTAGATGCAAAAATCTGGGATGTGCTGAGTTAGACAGGATCTGGAAATGATCTTTATTTCATGTGGCAGGACAGAATTACAGGAGATTGCTAGAGAATACCCATGGGAGCTTGCAAAAGGCTTTTTGTTTACTCCTGGAACTCCCTGCCTCACAAAGAGGTGCCAAAGAATCCAATTACTATATTTACATGAGTAATGGCTACCTGCATGTAATGACTCACTCATGCTTTGGCGAAGCATGTTAAATTAGTGGTAGCTGAAAAAAGATGCACTTAATAGTCATTAAGACACACTGCTAGGGAAAACCTAGCAGAAGCATGTGGTTGCTGCACACACAAATATGGCAGGCACCTAACCTTGCCTTTACAACAAAGATCTCCTTAGTCTGGACAGCCAGTGTGATGGTTCCTAAAAAAAAAGATCAGCTCTTTTGACCTACAGAAAACTGGAGGAAGGAGACTGTCCAAGCGGGAAGAACCTGCAAGGCTTCTTTCCCTGTGGATCTGGGATCCTGCTTGGAGTAGTGCTGCTGGGTACGGATGGCACAGCCATGTCTTGGTCAGCCTAAACTAGACCTCAGGTGGGAGGCTGGAAATGCTCTGTGCGGGTGTAGGCTATGGAGCACCCGGAAAACGTTCCCCACACCTGTGCTCTCCCTTTGCTTGTGTGCAGGGAGGATTTTCTCACCAGCACTGAGCGAGGTGAATTTTCTAACCCAATCCCACACTCACCCAGTCTGCCATGCGAGAATGTGGTGGGGACTGCCCGGCGGCGTGGCTGCTAGTTCACTCGACGGTGTTGAACTCCTCTGGCTGTGAGGTAAGGCAGCTGAAAAACAACCAAAGGGTGAAGAAAAATAACTGGTGAGGTGAGGGCACAAGGGTCAGGGTGGTTCAGAAGCGTCGGCTTGTCAGACCAGCAGGAACTTGTCTGGCTGTGGGTAAACACAGCCTGGGAGTCCGACCTCATCCTTTTCCTGGATGGCTGTGCCCTAACGCAGCACAGGAGCAGCCAGCCTACTGCTGACACCGCTGCGTGTCACGGGCCAGATCCGTCCTCTGCTCTGAAGGAATGTTTTGTTTCAGCCCGGCCTCCAGCTGAATGCAACCACCTGGACTCTCCTGAGCCTGCCTGGGAACACCCCACCTCTCCCATCATGAAAGCTAATTGGTTTTGCTGCTGCCTGGACTGGCAGGCCTGGCTGCGCATCTCCACGGGACCTGAACCGGAGGAACCCTGCCTGTCAGGCTCAGCCTCCTGCTTCTGGGGGTGCTGGGAGATGCTCTGTGTCCCTAGGAGCCAGAGCTGGCACTGGTGAGAGTCTGGAAAAGTACGCTGCTTCATGTGCAAAGGAGGAAGATGGCTCTGAAGATTTCAAAAGCTACAACTACCTTTTAACTGTGCATCTGTAATAAACTGAAGTTGGGCTTTGCTGACCCTACTACTATGGGACTAGAGGAAGGCTTATCTTACTTCAATGAAGACAGGAGCAAGCTGAACTGAAAATGTACCATTGGCAGTGGTTCTTGGGGGATTTTACCCAGTGACAGTCTAGCTAAGAAATCCACCTGACTGATCTTTCCCCTTCCTCAAGTCCATACAGTGTTGACCCTCCAAATTTAATATATGCCTAGAAGTATGACCCTCTTTGAAGGACAGTGTGAAGTCCAGCAGACCTATCAGCTAGGGCTACTCAGCTAAAATGATGGGTGTTTCTACCTGGCATCCCCTTCTGTGCTGTTACATTCTTTAGCTACTGCCAAATGACACTTCAAGGGAAAATCAAATTTTAATCTGCTCCTTACAGCCAACAGCCCCCGAGATCAGTATCCTCCCACAGCTGTAACTGGGAACTGACTCTGAACACAAAACCAATCTATGCTGCCAACTGGTCACCACAAGCTGTCATTACTGAGCACTTACCACTGTGCTGCCCAGATACCACATTTAGATTTAAAGACCCAGCTGGGTGGGGGAATGGACTGATTGACAGCAGTTTTTACGTGTTCTCCCCCAACCTCACCATTTTCCGTTCTCGATTACCTAACTGAACTGGAATGGTTTCTAAAGCTAAGCAAGGCAAAGCTTTCCAGTGTTCAAGCATTTTCTGTCGCTGGGTGGAACAGAAATGCCCATTAAAGACTTTTATATGGAGACACAGGACGGTTCCAGCAGCTACTCAATTGTGTCGTGGTCCACATCTGGGCCTCCTACAAGCGTTGGCATCACACATAAACCAGCCTCTTCTCAGGCAGCTGCTGGTGGCCCATACAGAGCCTGGTGTCAAACTGCCTCTCTGACTCCACCGTGGTGTTGGCAGCAAGTACAGAGCTGCACTAGTGTCAGCGTAGTGGTCACTGTGGACCAGGTGCCATGCTGGGATGTCAGAAGGCCAACAACCAGCACGGGTGTATGATGCACTGGTCTGCTCAGGGAGGCTGTGAGAGCCTGTGGCGAGCGAGGCCGGAGCAATGGTGTCTCCCATGCCAAGGCTGATGCATGTGGAGGGGTGGGGATGGACACAGTGCAAACTCTCATTAACCAGCAATCCTGTCCATGTGGGGCTGGATTCAAGTTTTTAGCAAATTCTTGATCTGTGCAAACTGGCTTGTCTAGCGGTGACTGATGGCCAGTAAATATTTAACCTTGGACTGTTTCATAACACGTTAAACATTCAGTTTAATGAATTCGACTGTTTTCTTACCATTTAATATTAACAACACAGGGGAGTGCAAAGCTCTGTACATGATAGGCAAAATACTGCACAAACTTAAACGCTCTGAATTTCAGGATATTATCAGCACAGCTACTGGAGTTGCATGGGAAAACCAAATCTCAGCACTCCACAAAGATGTCATCACTCAAACATTTTCGGGGGGGGGGGGGGGCGGCGGAGGGGCTGGGATGCTCCCCACTTAACCTTTCTCATGCTTTTAGTGTTTCACTGAGGACATGCATTCCCCTAGTCTGTGCTCAGCCCCCGCTTGCTTCATTGCTCCCTTGCTGTGATTACTAAGAGTGACCCCCCCCATGGTTTCTCCACGTTTGGCCTCTAGTGCTATCACCCAAAGCCCAACTGCACTCTGAGGAAAGACCTGGCAACAATGGGGCTTCAGTCCCTCCCGGTCTTTTGAGCCCATCATTGCAAAGTGATGACTTCCATGGAAAAAAATTCTCAGCCGGTGAGTGTCTCGGACAAGGCTTGCCCCCCAGTGTTACGCCTACAGGCTTGGTGAGCAGCATGTGAAGGCCAGATAGCATGCTATGGTCTGGCACTGCTCTCCAGCTGAGTTGCAATGCCCGGCATGAATCCGGGCTGCATGAAGCCCCCGTCCCTCCTGCCCCTTTGCCTGGGACCACCTCTCACCTGATGTTGCTTTACACATCTGAGGCATTCTCGTGACCCGGCTGTGCGCCACAAAGGTGCTTTGCGAAGATGTGCTGTACTGGGAGCTGCTGTCTGAGGAAGTGGAGCTCGTGTGCGAGAGGCGGCTGTGCTCCTTGTGGGAGGCTGTGGACCGCTGGTACCAGAGCCGCAGCTCGTCCGACACGGCAGTCCTACCCGAGCCTTTCTCATGGCCCTCCCTGCCCAGAGATGGAGTCCTTATGATTTGGGAGCGGGAGGGGGTGAGCCTGACCGAGTCCACTTCATCCCCGTGCCAGTTCTCCTTAAACATCCCCCCCGCTGTGTAGGAGTTGGAGGTTTTGAATTGTGCTTTCACGCTGTAGTGTCCCTCCTGGTCGTTCTCCAGGCTCCGCACCACCACGGGTGTGGAGCTGCCCTCGATGTACAGGGGATACTCTTTGATCCTGTACTGGGAGGAGGGCTGGCTCTGGCTGTGCAGGTAGACGCGGTGATGCCCCGTCCCGTTCCTCGCAGCCAGGTTGGGCATACTCCCTGAATTGGAAGAGACCAGGTTGCCTGCTGATTTGTGCCTTTGCCTCTGCCGCTCTCTGGCTTTTGATGGGGAATCCTCTGCCAGGGTGGAGTAGTTGGGGTTCATCTGAGCTGGGTAGTAGTGCTCAGAGCTGGAATGGCTGGTGCAGGAAGAGCAGTCATCCATGGGGTCAGAGCCATTACTGCTACGAGTCCTTGGGGTGTAGAAATCAGGACTCCCCGTCTCATTTTCTGAGCCGAGGAGCTTGCCTTGTGACTCCAAACTGGAGCTCCGGTGTCTAAAGTGCTGAGCTAAGCTGTGCAGTCTGGTTGGGCTGATGTCTACTGACCTGCAAGTACCAGGAAAAAAATCCAGGCTGGTAAGTCAACAGGACGAAGCACTCCCCATCCCCTGCACACAAGGCCAGCTTCACAGGCAAAGGAATCTGAGGGCACTGAAAACCTGGACCCCTCCAGCACTGCATGGGGCTGCTGCCTGCAAAGGAACCTGCTTCCCTGCTGTAAGGTTTGGGGTGATTAGGTCCTATTCCTGTTCCTCTCCAGTCTCCTTGGTGGTGGCATTCAGTCTGCAGCACCATGTGGGACACAAACCCTTGCCCAGCCCAATTCCTCTGTGGCTTGCCACCCTGGGAAGGACCCAGTCTGAAGGGCAAAACCTGGGGACCTCAAGCCCCAGCTTTGCTGGTGTGGCCCTGTGGCAGAGCTGTTTGAATCAGCACCATCCCTGTGCTACCAGGGTCACCTTGCTCCAGCTATGCAAATCCTGAGACCTTAGCCTCAAAGGTGGTGGGATTCCCTTGCAAGTGGCTTGTGAATGCTCTGCACAGGTACAATCGACCTGCTGTGAGACGGACAGACTGCCCGTACTTAGCCCAGAATGCAGTGATTTCTCCACTGGCCTTTGAAAAAGTCACCTCTGTCAAGCAGCTAGTTTTTACTGGGGCTCAGCCATGGGTAGCATGTGTTAAGACTGTCAGTGGGTGACAGCCCTTCAGGCAACCACTCTGAATCGCAAGTTTACAAGGCTCGATTCACAGCCAAGTCTGGGTGGTCTCTATTCACCCCGGTTGTTCAGAGAGCTTCAACCATCCATTCAAGGAGCAGGAACACCCTGTGATGAGTCACACACCCGCATGACAGACAGCCAAGGCCAGGGTACACAGCTCATGAATGAGCCACCGACTGAGCAATGGCTGTTTCAAACACCCGAATGGCCCCTACCCGGTCAAGGCCACTTCTCAAGCACTGTGCCAGGCTAGTTTCTCACGCTGCTCAGCTCCAGTGTTAACAAACATTGCACTCTTGAAAGGTACTCCTAGCCAAAAACTTGTAATGAACTTAACCCAGGGCCTTAATGCCTTATATAGTCTCTGCCCAAGTCAGACGTGTTGGCATGACTCTTGATTTATGCTGAGATAAATGATGTTAGCACTACCCCTTAGGGCTGGATACCTAACAGCACACAGCTTTGGCTCAGCTCTGCTTCCTGCAGTATCCATGGAGTTTGCCACAAGAGCAAAACAGCAATGAAGCTGAAAGGTTTGTAGAAATCCTGCTGAAAATTAGAGTCAAATTGGGCCACACACATCAAATCACCTCCCTTACACACTTCACCTCTTTTGTCTGTCAACCCTGGGCTTATTCCACTGCCACCTGGATCCTCAGGTGAATTGCTTTATACAGGCTGTCTCTCCACATAAGATCACACATGTGCAAACATTTTATCTATGAGAGAGAATTAACACTACCCAACATTTTGCATCAGACAAGTAAACAATGTGTTCTCTCCAGCTGGATCCATGGAGGAATTTACTGCAGAATTTAGCAGTAGCACCACATCCCTTTTAAAAGTGGCACGGGGTTTGTAGCGCCTATAGAGTCCCCGAGATGAAAGGTCCCAGTGGAAGAAAAGCTTGATTACTTTGAGGAGACATGAGGGGCAGGATCATGTTTATCTGAAGTGATTTCAAGATCTCAGTTCAGGAGAGATTCCCTACTGGCAACAGTACACAAGCTTTGTATGTGAATAGGACTGGTTTGTGTCCTTTCCTGAACTGGGAATTAATTCATATCCTGGGGGAAGGATAAAGCAAAGAATATTAATTTCAGGGTATGCAAGGTGAGACCAGAGCCGGCAAGACTTACCGCGTGGAATGGACGTAGTGTGGACTGCGTACCCGTAGATCGGGCGTCGACGGCATGCTGGACTGGGAGTTCCAGTGGGGAAGGCTCCGGATGGGGCTGTTCTGCAGCGAGCTGCTCCCTCCCGCCTCGGCACAGCTCCCAGTGCTGGGGAACCGCTTGTGACTGCTGTGGAGCAAACACCCCGCTTCAGTTCCCGGACAGGAATTTGGGGAAGGGGCTCCCACGCCTCTTTCCAGATCTCAGGCACGTGCCTGTGATCTTGCGGGGGTCAGCGGGAGTTGGGTCAGCTGCTGCTCTCAGCTGCGTCCCAGAGCTTGTGCTTCTGCAGTAGCTGTAGGTCAAGGCCAAGCCCTGTCAAAGCCCTCAGATGATCCACCATCCTTCCTTTCTAAACGTTTTTTTAAAGTAACATTGAAATACCAAGCAGCAGTCATGTGGCTGCAGCTTATTTTTATGATACGTCTATTGGCCAAAACACCTAAAAGTCTCCTTTTGGTAAGGAATGCCTTTCTAAATTTTGAAAGGGCTCATACCCGTCCCTCCTGAAAGCAGAGGATATCTCTGTGCTGGAGCTTCAAGATAGCTGGCTCACCTGGAATGACTGTGTGAGGAGCGTTTCTTGACCTTCTCATAGGGTTCATCCAAGGATGACTCGCTCCACATCTTGGGTTTGATGGGGGACTTGTCATAGTCATTGCGGTGGTAATGCATTTGGCGGAGGCCTTCCAGCGACTGTGGAGGAGGAGGCCTGTTGTGCAAGGGTGGCCGGGGAGGGAGTCCTTTGTGTGGGGACTGGAGAGGGGATATTGTGCTGGTGACCTGAGAATCCTCTGTGAAGAGAAGAAGGGAGAGAGGTGATGGCTGTGCGATACCTCCAATGGCAGCACAACTCTGGGGGACACCATCGCACCTCCAGAGCCTGCTTCCTTATCCCGCTTCCCCTGGTTGTGTTCAGGAGCAACCTGAAGACCTGACTTTCAGAAGTGCACCGCCTGACAATCCCATTTTGGGAAGGAATGGCCAGCAAGAGCGTGTGATGCATTAAAACAATTGAAACCTTAAGAGAAAATAAGGGGGCATTCTGGGACTGTCTTTTGAAAGAATTCAGAGCAGTAACCACAGCAATACTTACTGCTCTGGGCCTGATGTCTGACTACAATGTGTGGTCAGGGGAAACCAAGCATTTTCGCTACTGGGATATTCGAGTGGATTATTACACAGAACAGTTCCTCCGTTTTGAGTGTCAATCAGGAGTTCACACATCCCTCCCTGTTGCCTTCCTGCCCGCTACAACATACAGCAGCCAACATACCATCCTCCAGAACAAGGGCATCTGAGAGGGAGCTGTCTTCACTGGCAATGTTTCCTTCTGAAGAGAAGAAAATACAAAGATGGTCAGATGGCCCTGAGAATCGCAGTGACTGAGTGCTGAACTCCACTGAGTCTTAGCCTTAAGCAGTCACCCACGTCTTCCTCCTCACATAGCTGAGAGGCAAGATTCCTATAAACAACTGACTCAGCCCACTCTCAGTCTCGGAGGGCAGAGCTGCAGGCCAGGTCTCTCACTAGCGGACTGCCTTTCAAGGAGCTGCTAACTCTTTTCAATTAATGGGGATTAAGACTGAGTCACAACAGAGAGCTGAGATCCCCAGAGGATGCAAAATGGCATGGTGCCATTAGTGAGATTTGTATCTTGGGCTTTAAGGACTCTGAGTTTATCTCCGCCTTCTTAAAATGATCATCCTGTTGCTAACTAAAGGCTCACACTAGGTACCAGTTTTGTGTAATTCAGGGAAACGCTTTCTGAGCATCCTCTGTAGCAGCAGGAGAAGCTCTCACATCCTTGGTGTGCACACATTTGAGCTGCTTCTCCCATCCCGTGTCCTCACAGCTGTCTGTTATCCCTGACTGTGGTGCAACTTGGTACCCAGATCACAAATACAGCAGCTCTAATCTCAGTTCCTGACACAAAGGCACAGAGAAAAGCTCTGCAAGTCAAAGGGAAAGGGCAAAATCAGCAAGGGAGAAAGAATCACGGTGGAAAGTTAATGGATTTCATGAAAAACCAATCAACAACCCAGTAAACCATACAGTGCCCTGAGAATTACATTGTAAAAAAAAGAAAAAGAAAAAAAGCACTTGAACACAGCAATGACACTGCTACCACTTTGATTTTACAGATGCCTTTCAGCTAGAGAGCTCACCCCACTCTGCTGACATTAATTACGTTTGTACAGCACCACTCTGGAGGAGATGTTAACAGAGCAATTTTATAGGTGAACAAAGGAGTCACAGTCTGCTTTCCTGACACACTTATAATCTACAGTGTGACACTGCTTCTTGTGCTGTGAACCAGCACATCCCTAATGCATAGTGTGCAGCCCAGACACCCATCTGACAGCACGCTGGTATGGGAGGACAGCCTGACTGCCAGCACCTGTGGAGTCTTCCAGACAGGAGAGGGAAGAGAAGGGAGAGGAAATCTGTGCTTCAAGGCAATAATTTTGCTCCCTGCCCTCCACAGACCCTTCCATGATGCCGTGGGCACTAAGTCCCACTTACCATCTATGATCAGGGAGGCTCTCTGAGTTGGCTTCTTTCCAGATTTGATGCGATACTCATTGATGGCATTTTCAATCTCCTGCAGTTTCTTCAGTGCGTTCAGGTAGGATGTCTTCCTCTGTTTCTTCAGCTTTTTGCTGACATTCGGGTCACTCGCCAGGCGCCGGGCAGCCTCCGTGATCTGGGACTGAATGGCAAACTCCCTCTCCAGGCGCTCCAGCTCTGCCTCCTGGGGAAAGGCAAGTGGATTCTGCCTACCACCAAACTCCCCCGGCCCAGCTATGGGGAAGCTCCCCCTGAACCCGGCCAGTGGCCTCCAACCAAGGCTCTCCATCAGCAAAGCATCCACGATCATGCTGCTTCCCTCATCTCAGGGCCTCCCTGAGCATACACACCTCACCTTCATCTGCTCACACGAGTGCCTGGGAGCACAGATGGTGGAAGGGATGACCCATACAAGGAGGACATGTGTGCTCCAGCCCTAACCCTGCTGTGCTGTTTGGCTTTTCATGCAGTTCAGTATGGCCTAGTTCAACAGTGCTCTACTGCTGACACATTAATCTTTTTACACCCATCTATGGGTAACACCTGCCTCCCACCTGCTCCTTTTCCCTGTTTCCCATCTCCATATTTGAGCCCCATTTGATATCAGTGCTATGTATCAATGCAAAGCTACAGCTTTAACCGTCTTGACAGGTTTGCTTGGCACCCACCAAACTCTTTGGGGTAAAAAAGCTAAAGATGGGCTAATTCCTCCCTGGTGTATGGCCATCAAAGTCCAGGGGAGAGTATGAGCTGAAGTAATTATGGGCTGCTGCAACTGATTGCACCAGAAAACTATCTCCTCAAGTTACAAGCCAGGAGGGTGATTTCAGAGTGAGCAGTGTGTAACAGCAAGCTTTCTGTATGCAAAAAAGGACTAGTGTCTCCAACATTAGCCCTTGCAGGGTCTCAGCTGAGTTTTTAAATGCAACCAGGTGTACCCTGGAAGCTACCTACTGTTTTTTAGTTATCCTCCAAAATCAAGGGGTTTAGCCCAATTTATGCCAATGCAGAAGCTGATATAGTTTTCTGGTCTGCACTGGGACACCAAGCTGTGAGCTTCAAAGGTACTTGCTAATCTGCAATGGATCTGGCTACCTTCCCCAGCTTAATGGAGTTTTTGGTGTTAGTCTGTGAGAAAGGGGAACACAGTACATTGCAAATTAGGGAAAAAATGACAAGTTTTTTTACTTTTAGTGAATGGTGGGAGTTCAGATCGCAAACACTGACAGCCATATATTCACAGAGATCTCCGTTACGCAAATTCAAATCCTTTCTCTTTGTTTAGCGGCAGTGTATGCTGCAAGAGGTGATGCTGTGGGATTTAATCAGACTGAAGTCGTTCTCTGGAGCTTTTATTCTGGGCTCCTGGCTTAAAAAAAATCCCTTTGCTGTCAATGGTGAGTCAGCATTGCCTGAAAACTATAACTATCATTTCCCTCACTTTACTGAAGACTGAACTGACCCCCCCCATCTTTTTAACAGATCCCTTTTTGCTTTGAAGTGTTTATAAGCTCTATCAGTGCTAAACTTACTAAAAGTGAATTTAACACCATGGAGTTTTAAGGCCTGGAACCTGATTTGCTGTCTTCTGGTAAAATCCTTCCCAGAGTCAGGAATTCTGGACTAGGTAGAGGTGATTACCAAGAAATACAATAGGACCCTTCCCTGCAAGTCTTGCTCTGACAAAGCTCTTACTAAAGGTACGGTGAGTTGATGTGAGCTGTCATTTCAGACCTTCACAGATTCAGTTCTAAATCATCCAGTATATCTTAGAAAAAACATATTAATTTTCCTCCCAGCCATAATTGTCTATTTTCTTCCAGTGAGGCCCCTATAAATAAAGCCTCAGAAAATGAGGGCTATCATCTGCCTTCAGATGGAAGTGCCTTGCTTCAGGTCCTTGTCACAGTTGGTAATATCAGTCCTGAATTTACATGACTGAGGGAGTATTTCACCTTTTGTTTTAAATTGAGTTTCTAGTGTTTGCACTTGCTGAAAAGCACATGAAAATCATCACTGGACTTTCTAAATGCTCTCAAACTGGCAGCCAAATAAACACATCATTCTTCGAGAACAGAAATTTATGGTTTTCAACATAGTCTTAAAGTTTGACAGATGAAAAGGGAGGTAGAGAAAAGCTGAGTCAGTGTGTTTGGATTGCTGATGCCAAAAGGCAGAGTGCCTGCAATAGGGAGGAGCTGCTTTACCTTCATGGTCTCCCCACCTAACCTTGCTACTGGAGTAAGGAGATTCCTCACCCACTGGCCACAAAAGATGCCATGTAGCAGTAAGATCTGGGGAAGCTGGAGATCAGGTTATAACTGAGCAGCCAACAGACTGCAGGGGTTTTAGGAGTAACTCAGCTAAGCTGTGCTTCCCTTTGAAAAGCTTAATTAAATGTGCTAGTTCATGAATATTTGACTTTGGTGGAATTCCTCTCCCAGGCTCCATTGAGAACAAAACTAAAAAGCTCCAGCTGTTTATTTTTTCAGCAGAAGGCAAATGCCAACAAAACGACAAACAGTTAATTCCCTGGCTGAACCAAGCCTTAAACCACACAGTCACACCAGCTTCGGTCTCTCCTCTTACAAAAATAAAAAGGAAACTCAAGACTGGAATATACACAAGTGTCTTGAGACAAATGCGTCTCTGCAGACAATAGCTTTTCTGTGAATCCAGTCCCGCCTTACAGCTGCTGCCGGCCTGTTTTCACAGCCACGGTTCAGGGCACTGACCCAGCACATTGTGGGAGCAAGGGAAGAGAACAAACACTCCCTGGCAAACTTAGAAAAACGTAATTCCAGCTCCCCATAGGTAGGGATGAAGGCTCTTTTTGTTTAAGGACTGGGGAGCAAGCTTTCATCTTGCTATTGCAGGCCTAAGATGGATATTTGTGATGCTTTTCTCCCCAGTTAGGGGAAATCTGAATTTGGATTGCTACTGAAGCGGAAAGCAAGTGGCTGTTTGCAATAACAACACAGGGCAGCAGCAGGGCTCAGATAGCTCAAGGGGCTCCTGACGTGCTCCCTACTCACAGAAGTCACTGCACTGGGTCACCAGAGCACTTGGACTGTTATGGTCCAGTTGGTCATCCAGGCTATTTCTGTTACCTCTAGCAAAGCCAGGATTGAACTTCGAGGGTTTCACCTTTACTCCGAGTGTGAACTAAGGCCATCTCTCTCACTGCTTCCCCATTCTGATGGCTATAAAAAAAAAAAGGCACCGTGACCAACTACAGACATTTAAAACAAAAATGACTGTAGGACTGATGGTTCCTATGTGATGCACGGTGGACATCTTAGAGACCTGAGGTGGGGACACAGGGCTAGAAGGGAAGGGCAGAGCCTCACCTCTCCCTTAGGCAGGATTTTCTGCTCATCCAGTTTAAAGGCAGTTCCTATTCTTCTCCTTACAATAGGTGGCTCCTCCCCAGGATCAAGGGGGTATTCTCGTGGCAACTTTCCTGTGAGCTCCTGTAAGCAGAAAATGCTGTTAGTGATCTGGGAAATCCTACAGCAGAGCGAAGCACAACACTGCTCTTGAACTGTGACTGTAAAATGACAGGCATTTATTAACAACATACCCAGTTCAGCCAGCTGATAAACATACAAGAGAGCACCCAGCCCTGCAAATCCGTCCCAGAACCTGACACTGTGGGTGGGGAACTTTTCTTTAACCTGTGCATGAATACAGATTTCTGTGGCCTGCCCAGGGTAGGTCTGTAGGTGGTGCCCACCCCCCAGGGTGTTGGGCCCTGAGGCTGAACAGACTGCAGCATATATGCTTTCATCTCTGCTGCAGAGTGAGTAGAAAAGAAGAGCTTCTATCTGCTGAGCTACTTCTGAGAAGGGGTGAGCAGATCCAAGAGCCTTCATGCAGGATGCAGGTCTGCTGAGTCAGAAAGCCCCACTGGCAACAGCTGTGCAGGTTATGACCTGCACAGAAAAACATTCCCACCTGATTCATGAGGTGTCTGAGAGGAATGCAGGGAAAATGGTCACTAAAAGCAGTGGCTGGTACCTCATTACCCATCTGATAACACTTCATGTATCAGAGCCCCTTCCAAACCCCAGTGATGTCATGGGCAGCTTTAGAGCAATATTAGATGATGCTTTTTCAGACTGATGGGGTAATTTGCAAAGATTTCTTCAAAATCTGAAGCAAACCCCACAGAACTGGGGAATATCTGGAACACAGGAAGCAGCAACTGCCACTACTAATGTTAATGCTGTGGGTTTTTTTCCTCTGGACTACACAATATAGCCACACATATCTGAATCGAAGGCATTCAAATGCCTACAGAAAAAAGGCAGGAGCCTCACTACCAGCACAGCCCCACTCCTTGTACTCAAAAGTCTCCCCATGAAGGACAAAAGGCTTTTGTGTTCCTTAGCATCAGCCTTGAGAGGATCCAGCTGGCAGAGTAACCTAAATCATCTGAATCCCAAAGAACAGCAGCTGACCTTAATGTGAGTGCGCAGCTCAGGCCCCTGCCTGCCCTGGCCTCTCCCCCACTTCCTAATGGGGTTTTTCATTCTACTCTTTTCAGGTCACTAGGAAACAAGGACCTGGCCTTTTCAAATCTTTCCTTTAAGCAATTCCCAGCAAAATGGGTTTGCAGCACAGCTCTACGCTAACATGCACAACGCCCTTTTGCGAGAGGCAGTGTTGCAACATCTCAGAGTCCCATTCTGCATTGCCCCCCCAGCCCTGTGGGGTTATTTCAGCTTTTCTTCTGAAATGTGTTCCTTCTAGTGAGATGTGGCTCTAAGCACTGCATCAAGACACAGATTCCTGTACCCCTTCCTGAGGGAAATAAGGATATTTTCTTTATAACCTCTAACTTAGTATGAAGCGGGGCAGTGGGGAAAGAGTTAATATCTTCTGTAAAATGCCCAAGATGGGAGCAGAACGAAATTAATGTGGGCCATACCATAAGTATTCAGAAACACGGTCCTGAAATGTAATCTATATTAATAAGTAACTGGAGTAGTGATGGCCTGAAGTAACCTGATGCCACTGTTACGAATGGCTCTGGCCATGCTTATTTGATTATGCCCCCACTTTTAACCCTTTTTTATCTCCTGGTTTGCCGCCTTCTCCCTCTGTTTTGGCCATTCCCTTGCCAAAGCAGAAAGGACAAAGGGCAGCCTGAGAGGAAATGCTTCCAACTACAGGCTGCTGATGGATGAGCTGTATGATTGCAAGACAGGGTCAGATTCCAAGTGTCCATCAACTGCCTCTCTCGGATCATCTACAGAAAGCACGAACACTTTCTACCAGCTCTTAAGGTGCTGACAGATGGGCTCTGGCCAGCCTTGCAGCAGCACATTAAGGAGATACCGCTTTTTACCTCTGGCTCCATGCCCCAGCAGGAGCTTTTGCCCGCATCCCAGTTGCTTGTGAAATGCCTGAGGCTGCACCACAGGCACATCTTCCGCTGCATGCGGTGCTGCTGCAAGGCATTAGTCATTGGCAGTCAGGCAGTGTTAGCTTAGGGTGGTCAATTCCTCCAGAGCAAGTAGAGCCCTCTAGACCTTGTCCATCAGCCCCCCAAAAGCGTGTGACTGCTTCTTGCAGATGACCTTAGCTCTGTACTCGATGGACTTACAAGACTGGATCTGGTCCTGCGACCTTTATCAGCACAAGTTGTTTGCTGAAGTCAACCAGGACTTCCCAGGTGGGAAAGGATTGCTCATGTGGAATAAAGGACTGGACTTGGGGCAGCAGAAACTTCTGCTGACTTTCTTTGTTGAGAGGTATTTTCCACAACTTACTCTTGTTGGCATTAAAACTATAGACTAACTGAAACAAAGTGCAATGAGAGCTGAATCAGTGACCTGTTTTCCCTACTTTTGTCAAAGGTGAGATACACATCAAATATTGAGCAACAACTGGAAGATCTCGGTGCCACTTTCTGCAGCCAGCTTCCTCTTGTGCTACACATTGTGATTTGTTATTAAATTTCAGATTTTCGGGCCTGGTAAACAAAGGAGAATTGCTGAATGACCCAAGTGTACGCTGCTGCTAATCTTCACATATATCTGCAACAGGGTTGTGATTTCCCCAAACATTAAATTGATCTCTAAACTGGCCTCCTATGTACTCTAAGAATGAACTGGCAAATGAGTGGGAAGGTTATGAGATGAGTTGCTGAGCTGTCCTGCATGTCCTGGGACACCCACAGTGGTTCCTCTTCACAAGGTCTGCCACCACACTGCCACCACAGTGGTTCCTCTCCAGTGCCAGAGCTTATTGGATGAAGGGAGTCTACATGGAGCAGGTGAGACCTTGTGTGCTGTTTGTAAGAATGTGCTGGGAGAAGAAAAGCATGTAAGGTCAGGCCTGCTCCAAGAAGAAAGTGTATCAGGCTGGGTTTTTTTTGCTAATGATGTCAAAAGCATTTGAGAAGGGATTGCCAGGACAGAGGACAGCCTTCCTATCCCATTTAGGTAGCTGCATATTCCCACCAAAGTCAGTTAGAAGCCTGGCTGAATGTATCTTAAACACAATTTCAAACAGCAGACATGGATGCTGAGCACCCTCCTAGCCCTAAGCCAACTGGGTACCCAGCTGACATGGGGTCCTCTTTTCTGGGGGAGAAATGTCCTGTGACATTGCAATCTGGAGTTGGACCTTCCTGAGGCCTTTGTACAATGAGCTTTGTAAGAGGTGACTATGGAAGGAATCTCTTCTCCTGACTCCACACCACCTCCAAACAACAAGCATGCTATAACAATGCAAGCAACAAAGTGTTACAGGTTATAAAATGTCCATTGCCTACCGCTTCTCGGAGACAGAGTTTCTTTAGCTCTTCCAAGCGCTGGCGCAGTGTCTCTTCCAAAGCTTCTTGCCTGGATTTCAGTGCAGCCAGCATGTCTTTCTTGGCAGACTGAGAACTATCTGACTCTTGGGAACCTATCAATAAACAATGATTTCACTAGGCCAGCTGACAGCAGAATACACATCTGGAGTGCTTGTCATTTTACCAAAGCCTGGATGCAGTCCTTCCAAAAAGAAATCAGACTATGACATGAAGCAGGTGTTACCCAGTCACGTTTGTTTACTGCAAATTCTTAATGTTTAAGCTAACAGACAGAGATTGGACAGTGGGGCACACAAAGACATTTGTAATTGTTATCCAGAAAAGCAATAAAATTATTCATGTAAAGATTCTAGAAAAAAAAGACATACCATTCCCATGAAAATTCCCAATGGCAAATAACAGTACAGTTTACGAAGCCCCGGAGACGCATTTTTTGGAAATTAAGACTAGGAGAAACCATTTGACAATAACAGCCTACTTCTGAAGAACTGCAATTATCCTAGTAGCAAACATTTAATTCAATCCACTTACAGTGCCTGTTTTATGAAGAAAAGTAATGGAATGAAATTACCTAGCAAGATTCCTGTAAAACACACCAAAACAACAATAACCCATAGGTCCTTCTGGGATAGTAGCTGTTTCTTGTGAAGACATAGGTCAAGAAATTTAAACTGGATGTCCAAATGGCTTGACTTTTCAAGTGGCAATTACCCAGCAACTTGTGCTGAAATAAGTCCATGCATTAAGTCAGATTTTGCTGCTCAGACGTCATGACAGCATTTCTAACTTCTGCTCTTTTGGGGAACTTATTGATGGGATTCCTGATTTTATTTTGGTTTGTGATGGTGCTTCAATTGCTATCCAAGATCTAGCATCTCAAAGAAGGGGCAATGTTGGTTGCATCCATTTTGGGGTCCCCAACTTGAGCAGCTGATTTTTCAGGATGTGCTTAGCATTCGCCCTCTTTAACGCAGCTCTGGGCTCAGGGATGAGTTTATAGTGAAGTCACTACTTTGCTCTGATCCCCATGTTTGGATAAGCCAACTGCATCCTTTCATCTGAGAGTATGATGGTTATGGCCATACTGTGAGATGAAAAGCAAGCTCAAGAAAGGGAAAATGCTATCTCCACGTACTTCTTCCTCATATTACTGGCTGTTGGTCAGCTACAACTGTGGTTCAAAGCATCCACCTTGGGTTTACAGAAAGCTGAGTTCTGGTATCTTGGTGGATTCAGCAGTAGTGTCCCATGTCTGTCCACAGATGACACTGAGAGCTACAGCTCCACACACTAAAGCTCTGCCCCACACACAGCTCTGGAGCTCAGCCTAAGTCTGCATCTGATCCCTTTTTAATCAACTCCATAGTGGGTCTTGAGCTGGGCTGAATGGACACGGCTGTTGTGGTGGAGGGGTTGCTGTTGCCTGAACAGAAGTGTCTTCCATGGGGTGGAAGACACGACACAGGACCCTGTGAGACCCACACTCTTTTGGACTGGCAGTGGGATACTCTAATCTACCTAAAATGACACCAGACACAAACCACCAGCTGGATTGTGCCCAGTGCTTTGTAGGGACTTCTTGTGGGGCATTTAGTTTACTGTAGGTTTATGCCTGCAGAGAAGCCTTTGACTCAGCAATGCTTTCAAGGGTGCTTCTGCTAGTCCACACTGGTTTCTCAGTGGTCTCAGCACCTGCTGTCCCAGGGTGACTCTGGGAGGCTCCCCTGCCCCTCTAGAGCAATGGCACAGAGAAAGCAGACCTTTATTAGCTGCAGGAGTCAGATACAATGACATGCTACATGGAGGTGTCTGTGTACCTGTAGGATGGGGGTGAGGGTGGGCTTCTAGATACATTTGCAGCTTGGCCTCCAAGTGTACAGTGAAGACCCTCAGCCCAAGTTGGTTGAAAAGGTTGCTGCCGTTTCACAGATGTCTGGAAGGAACCTGGGAACAACTTGTTGCTTTGGCAGGAAACCAGAGTGTAATTTGTTCTTTCAGCTGCTTCTTTCATTGCTACTATTGCAGCAGACCGTTAGCTAAACCGAAAGAGGATTGGGCAGCCTGTGCCATGAAACAGTTCTGCACTGGCCCAGGGGGAGCAAAGAATCTTAGATCTTTTCCACCACTATTTTCTGCAGTTTTCATACAGGAAGACAGCTGGCACTTATTCTGCAAAACGCCACCCCGCTTTGTTACACCTTTTATTGGGCTGTCCTGGAGTGGGGGGAGGTGGAAAAAGGGCTCTCTAAATGTCAACCAGGTTGAGCATCATCAGATAAAGAAGGACGACCTCATGGTAAGAGGTCTGTTTAGTTGCTGTATTCACCCTCATTTCATTTGGGTTTGTTTGCCCTTATAGAGCAACAAAACTCAATTCTGCAAACACGTCTGTGCTGCAAGAACTTGACGGGATCTTCTAGAGGAGCCTTGTATTTGCACTGGCAGGGAAAGCCCTCTCTAGCATTTAGTAATTCTTAATAGTAACCCTGGTGAGCAGTTACTAGCAAAAGCTGAGCTGCTGAATTTGTTCACTGAATTGCCAACAAACTGCTGAGTCCCACCAAAAAGTTGCTCACTATTCCAGCAGATGTTTCAAACCCCCTTTTTTTTTTTCTTTTAGGACAACTTTAATGACCTACGTTTTCCTTTCAACTGCTCTTCCCCTTTCCTTCCTCCCTTTACTCCCTACCTCCACACCAGCCTCAGATTTATTTTTAAAAGCTATTAGTTTTTGCACTGCAGGTTGCCACAGCAGCTACATAGATGCTGAAACATTTAAAAGCATACGAATAGCCTAAACCCTGGCCAGACGCCTGTGCTGATTTGGGGTGTGCTGACAAGAAGGAAACAAATGGCTTCTGGCTGAGCTGGTAAGGACCCAAATCAAGCACAGACAGTTCACGGCATCTGCTCCAGCTGTGCTTACCCTGTGTGAGAACCACGCTGGTCTCAACCCTGATGCAGTCCATGGCAGTGTCCACTGAGCACTCATTTTGCCATCTTTTTCACCCCTACCAGAAAGCAAAGGAATTGGGGGAGGTCTGGAAGCACATTGTCACACTCTGAGTTAAGCAATGGGGATTACTGGTGAAACCAAAGTCAACTACTCCTTGGCACTAATGAACCAGTTCAAATTAACCTTTTCCAAGTGTGTCTTTGTATCACAAACTCTTCAAGTGTAGCAAGGGTTTAAAAGCTGTGGCACTCAGTTCATGGCTTGTGATGCTGACTGTTTTAGCTTGACCATACCTGACTTGGATGATCCCTTGGGCCTACCTGCAGGACTTACTTATTTCTTCAGACCTTCTTGAAGTTTCCCCTTCAGAAACTGTTCTGTTCTAGCTGTTTTTTTTTTTTAATTTAAAAGCTGAACTATTTTGGGGTGTATTATTAGATTTTTATGGGTTGGATTCTCTGCTTGTTTTCACAGGTGAAAAGCAAATGGAAACTTGATCAGTTAAGAGAATCACACCCATGTGAGATGCTTGTAAAGGAGCAGAGAACAGTGCTTTGTATTGCTGGGGTGCCTACAGCTTCCATTAGAGGCTCTTTATTTATAAATATGTATTAATCCAGCCTCGAGCAAGGCTGTGACCACAGACCCACTTCTAAAGCCAGTGGCAATTGACCCAAAAATGTCAGAATAAATCAAAAGATCATAAAAACAACTTAAGAAATAATCAAAGACCAGCACAAACCAAACCAATCAAGCAGATACTACTACCTTAAATCAGCCTTATTAAACATGAAGCTCACCGAGTCATGGCTGCCCAGTGCCTTCCAAAAGGGATCATCAACAGAGAAAAATCAGTCCTGAAAGATCAGTCCTAACACAAGAGACTCCTACTGTGACAGAAACAGTTGAGTGGGAGGCTTTCTCAGGTATTTTATCTCCTACAGTTAGGGCTAATTCCTAATGCAGTAAACAGGAGAAATGTTGCTGAAATACGTAATTTCCTTGTATGGCTTTTGAACATTTCTGTGAAAATTATTATTCAGCCTCCTTCCCATTTGCTGTGCAAAGATTTACCAAACTCTGCCTTCTAACATGGAGTTCTGCAGAACCATTTGATGTCCCGAAAAGAGAAAGGGTTGTGAAAACCCACTAGGTAGCAAGCACAGGGCCATCTCTTTGGTGGGCATGAGGAACCTACTGAATTAAGGCATGTTTTTATATCTGATGCTGCTTTAATTTAATTTAATCTGGTTTAATTTCAAAGCCAAGGCAATCGTACATGCTCCTTCCTCCTTAGCATACAGGATGGGACGCAGGTCTTGGTGACCTGAACACCCACTTAATACCCTGTTACTGTGTGGATACTCTATTCCTCTTCTTCACACTTGGCGTCTCTGGGCGATTTCTCCACCCGCTGACATTCAGGAGATTGTTGGCCATGAAACTGAGGGAGAACGTGGTCCTCTCTGCCCAACTCACTCCCCCAGCAGAATTAATGGCTGAGCTTAGTGCTAACTAAGCTTTACTAGTGCTAACAGGCTGGTTTCTGATCCCTCCAATACCGGTGAGGTCAAGACCGTCTTGGTGATGTCAACAGGGACATGAAGCAAGTGAGTCACACCCCCACAGGATCTGACCAAGGCGACGTGCTGTGTCTGTGCAGATCTGCAGGGGCTCCTGGCTACCAGGTGTCAGCTCCAAGACAAGCTTTCGTTTAAAGCTTGTCAAAGGGCTGAGACCAGCAATGTGAGCCACCGTTTTGGAGAGGAAAGCCCTACCAGTGACTCACTGTTTGTCCCCATTTCCTCCACCTATTGTAGCAGAGCGGAGTAAGCTTAGAAAAGGGATAAATGAGAAGGATGAAAACAAGCAGGGAGAGCCAAGGCTTGGTGATAGCAACTGTGAGGGGAGAGGATAATGCAACAAGGTGGCTGTGCAGTGGCAAGGCAAGAGCATCCGGGCATCTCTTCTCTTTCTCATTTTGTGAGCCTCCTGCTCCAGGAAAAACACATCTAAATACGGCAAACCCTTCACACTACATCCGGCTGCTAGCTCCAGCTTGCTGGTGTTTGGTCGAGGTATCTGTGGAAGGCTGTCCCCAGAGCAGGGAGGGGAGGTCCCCCCACACTTGCTCCATGCCAGAGCCCAGGCTGACTCACCGCGCCAGGATGTCAGCACACAACAGCCAGCAACCTCAGACAGCCGCTATCTCTTGTCTCTGCCAGACAAATAGGATATCCTCCGTGGCGCGCGGGAGCCCAGCTGGAGCTACTCCGCACAGGATGCGCTCAGATTCCTGTGGGCGACTCGTCTTTGCGAGCCCCTGCGCTCACAGGCTGGCTGGAGGCCGTGCGGGTGCTGTTTATCTGCTCCGACACCCGCCGGGGCAGTCCGGCTGGGAGATGGCCCTGACGGATGGAGTGGTGGGGGCCGGGGAACTGGCTGGCAGGGATTTGTTGTGGCATTTTCAAATGTAAACAGGTCCCTGCACAGGAAACCTCTACCACTGATGAAGGAATCAGACTTAGGGGGCCAGAGGCTCCCCGAACATGTCTGCAGAGCTAAAGCAGAGGTGCTCCTCTACGGTCTCTTCTCTGCCCACTGAGATGAAGGCAGCGGTGGTCTGGGGTTCGGTCCAACAATAACCCAGCAATAATGGGGCTCCTCGATAGCTAGGAGACCAGACCTGCAGAGCTCTTAGGGCACAGACTGCTCTGAAGAAAAAAATCCACCTTAGACCTAACCTGATTTCGCTCTGATAATTACCTCTGCTGGCTTTGATTAGGGTTCATGCCAGTGTGAAAGCAGAGCTTTTATTCCTGGGCAAATCTTGCCCCAGATGCCCAGGGGTGGCCCAGAGATCCGAAGCACAAGATGCTTGAGCTAAACCCCAACAACCCACTGTTTTGGGGGCCCCCTTCAGAACCCAAATGAGGTCAAAAGTTAAAAGAGTGAGCTTGTCGGAAATGCACTTGGGAGAATCAGGTATCAAACTTAAAACACCGCAGTGGACACAGACTGAGATCGAGGACCTGGGAAACACGGAGGAGCTTAGCCTTTGGCCCTGAGCTGCTGTGACCATGGGGAAGTCACTGTCCCTGTAAAAGACTCCATTTCCCCGCTGCTGTGTCTTGAGACTGTAAGTGATGTGGGGCAGTGACTGCTTTGCACTGCACAGCAGGATCTTGGCCAGACAGTATGACAGCTGGAAGCAACAACAAATACTTCCTTGCAGCTTTGCTGCAAACCCAGGGGAGACATGCCAGCTTCGGCGTGCTCCTTGTGGTGCTGACAGCCCCTTCAGTGAGGAGGAGCACGATGGAAAGAGGAAATGGCTACAAGTAAGAAAAAAGGACAGAGAATGGTAGGGAAGTGGGGACAAACAGAGACTCAGTTCTGCCCTTGTGATTTCAAGTCACTCAGGGTATTTATAGCCTGGAAGTCTACTGTGGCCACTTAATCATTTGCACTTATTCTCTCCAGTGCACACACTGTACTGCGATAACCCATCATTGTTGTGACTGTGCGCCGATAATCTTTGGCACAATGGGAGGAAATGCAAAGGCTGGGACGGAGTCGGTGACTGTGCCCAGCAGAACAGGCAGCCAATGCCCCCTCCAGTCCAGTGGGACAGTGCTGGGTCACCTCTGCCAGCCAGGCTCAAGGAAAGGGGCTCTTGGAGCAGAGGGGTCTGGGTGACTGTGTGGAAGCAGTCCAGGGTCTCCAATTCCCTGGTATCTGTCCTCCTCTGCCAGACATCCTCTCTCTACACTTTCCTCCCTCCACAAGTGTGCTTGTAGCTGCTGGAAGGCACATAGCAGCAGCAAACTTGACAGCTCTCCTTAACATTTTGGGGAGAGCCCTGTCCTCATAGCTGGCAGGACCTAAAGGCAGCTCTCAACACAGGAACCTGAAGGGAGCAATGCTCACCTGGCCCACCAGCAGCACCTCAACTGAAATAGGTAGGCATGCAGGTAGACCAATTCACCTACCCTGGCCTGAAGAAATGACTCACCTGGTCAATGAACTTTGCATGGTTCTAGTCACTAGCGCAATTCCGCTGAGTCTGCAAACCCCATGCTCAGCCAGGAGGGATTTGAGCAGGGAGCAAAAAAATACAGAAATAAAAGCATTGGCAGCTCCCAGTTTGGGATTTCCATCGAGGTAATCCTGATAGGTGCTAGACCTACAGAAGCTTTTGTGGGCCTGATTTTCTGCCAGCTTTTACCTGGCTACTGCTCTCCCAGTGTGAAAGCAGAAGCAGACCCCCATGTTTTTTTCCAGGAAGGCGAAAAGTCAGTGTATTAACATGAAAACAGGATTACTACCAAGTAGCTCTCACAAACTTGGGAATGGTGCCCAGGAGGCTGAGATCTTGGAAAGACCTTAAGAACTTCCTTGGGGTACTTAACATTATTTACTTTCCAGCAGGAGAGCTGAAAAAAATGCCAAACAAACAAAGAGCTCGAACAACCCGACACCAGTCTGGGAGCTGCTGAGCTACTGTAACTCCCTGAGCAATGGGAGGCACAGACAGTGGATTGTATACTGCATCAGGAGGACCTAAGGAGCAGAAAGGCATCTCTGTTTGCGGGCAAGGCAAAGAATTGCACAGCAGGCTGCTCTGGAGCTCTGTAAGCACTGCACATTTTAACCCCTTGCTGGACATTTTCCATGCAAGAAAGCGTGGCTTTCAGGAGACATGGAGGATGCACTGATGCAAAGCCGATCTCCTGCACTAGTGTGGGTTCAGTTTCAAGGGATTTGTGTTCATAGATGGACTCTTCCCTTGTCAAGCACGGGAAGGTTATTCTCTCGTGTTACACATCTCAACACAATCGGTTTTGATAACTTGATGTGATGCTTAACAGAGGGCATTTAATTGACTGGAACTATTAATTATAGTGATACCAGCAACTTTGTCCTGCTGAAGAGCTTCTCACCTAAGCAGCTTCAAGCTCTTTGCAAACTATCAATCCTTGCTTTGCTCCCGGAGTGATGTTTAGCACTGTTTTACACACAGCTTACCCCATTCAGACTGACAGAGGAATTTCAAAGAAATACTGAGAAGTTCCTGACTCCTCTTCTCTGGTCCTTCTCTTCTGACGCTCTAGCTCTCCTCAGTATCAACTTCTCTTGGGTTTCACAGATTATGTCTTCCTCATAACAGCAAGGTGCTCTAAGCTACAAAAAGTAACCTCTAGGTCCCCACACTAGTATGGTGGAGAGTGCTAGGGAATAGGTCTTTTGAGGCTGGGACACCAGGCAAACTCCAGCAACAGAGAGGCAAGGCAGATGTGCATTCTGTGAAGAAGCCACCCAGCCTCAACACTGCTGAGGGACATCACCAATTCCCAGCCTCAGTTTCCCTGCTGAGCTGCACTGGCTGACTGCTTCCTCACTGCTGGCTGGGGGCTCCTTCACAAACGCATCTGCCTAGGGATGAGCTAGGTGCCAAGGGGTGATTATGGTAGAAACTGTGAAGAGAGACCAGGTCTCAGCTGGAAAGTGAGAGGTTGGAGATGACATCCTGGGGCCAAAGAGGAAACAAGCAGTGGTAATGAGAGAGGGGGAAGCTGCTGCCTCTGCTGTTTGTGGGGCAACATGCTGAGAGACGGACTGACACCTGGACAGACAGAAAGGGAAGTGACTTTCATTTCTGCAGTGCAGCTTCTGGCTGCTCCCCATTATACCATGGCCAAGGCCCTTCCCACCGTAATCTCTCCAGTTACAGGATAAAGGACCTACCTGATGACAGAAGACTCCCGCTGCTGCCGCTGATAATTTTGCCTTTACTCCCCATGTTGGCCAGCTTTGAGGTCTTGAGTGTTCCAGTTTCAGTCAGGTCAATCGCAATCTCACTTAGGCTTCTTGCAGCATGAATCTTCGACTGGACATGGACACAGGAGTTAGTAATGATCTAGCACTTCTTTAAAGCTCACAGAAGGAAAAAGTCCTTTTGCTGTGGCAGGAAACAGGCCTCCACAGCAAACTTGGATTATTTTACAAGAATAGAAGCAATCTGGCATGGTATTCGCTGCTGCACTTTCTACATTCTTAAGTGGGTGCCATTCTGGCATCGCTTGTTTGTTATTTTCTCTGCTTTGCCATGGACATTTTTCCCTCTTAAACAAACTATGTATGGAGTCACTGAGTTACCACATACAATAAGAAACCTTCAGAAATGCCAACATAATAAACTGCAAAGCCCAAAGGCTAAAGACCATCTCCAGCATCTAAAGGAAGCCAGGAGGGACCTCTCCAAATCTGCAGTGATCTTTGGACCATGACAGTGGACAGTGAGGACATGGCTTAAATGGGCTGTCATGAAAAGCTGGAAGAAAATACTGGTAGGAAAACATGTTCAGCTTATGGTCCAGACTAACAGGCTGCATGCAATGCCCCTACTGTGAGTCACCTCTTCAGAATATTAACATCACTGCAGTAAGAAACAACAGCCAGCCCCAGCTCAGTAACTGGCCACACTAGGACAAGGAGTCACCCATTGTACACCACCAAATGTCAATAATCAAGGCACCTCCAGGGGAAAGTACACATGCATACTGCGTAAACCTATCTTAGGAGGGAATGAGCTGACTTCCTAAGATGTCATCGTTTCTCCATTGGTTATGGAAGGATTTGAGACAACAAGATGCCCAGAAAGTTCAGGTGAGATAACTCCAGAACTTTCTCTTCATTGAGCAGTGAGCTCACATGTGGTTATGCCTACAGAGCCAACAAAGGCAGCAAACGTTCAGGGCAAGGAGGTTAGTGGTACTGAGCAAGGAAATGAGCACAGCAGCTGCTTGCAGGGTTGGGCTCGCTCAGTCCTAGTGGCTGCCTTGCCTCTGCAATACAAACCCCACTGTTAGTAGCTCACCATGTATCTCCAGTCCATTCTCCTGACAGCCTCTAGCAGGTGCTTAACATGAACAAGAGGATCAAGAACATGCATCAAAGTTGCTGGGGATGGCCCTTCAGTTATATTCCTAGCACTACCAGGAAGAAGAACCCTACATATGAGGGTGTCTTGGGTGGCCACAACAATTTTTCAGTCCTTTTTCTGACCAGTACAGCCTTAGGATCACCTCAAAATAGCAACTGCCTTATCAGAACAAGCCTCTTGAGTCCTCTATCTCATTTCTGACTGGGGTCATCTCCAAGGACTTCAGAAAAAAATATGAGGAAACTTTTCATTAAGCCATTGTGGAATAATCTGTCCACATGGAAAATTTCCTCCTGCCTCTTCTGAACTAATGCTTATGCTCTGAGCTCCATTTTATGTATTGGTTGTTGAATTCGCTTCAGGTAACAAGCCATGCTAACAAGGAGAGAGCTGACAACCAGGAAGAAGCTCACTGTCTGTAACATGGCACGCAAAGATGACTGCTATTTCATCTCCAACCTGGAAATTGGCTTCTTGCTTGCTGACCCTCATGTGAGCTCTGCAGTCACGGATGGAGGGAGCTTGGAGCTCAGCCCATCGCCCAAATCTTGCAAGCCCTGTGCTGCTGAGCTTCAATTAGCCTGGCCTCGCAGGGCCACTAACCTGCAGTTTTGATTTCCCAGAACCCAGAAAGCTGTTGGCACATTGTGTCTCCAGCTGCACGAAGACTTTTGTTCGAGAAGGTGGTGAAGCCCCAGTTCAGGATCACCTCTGCACCTTCTCAAGGCCAGAAAAGACTTTCAGCCCTAGTCATACAGTTCAGGCAATGGGCACATCATTACAGTGCTAACAGATCAGAAGCTGGTGGATGTCCACATACCACAGTATGATCTATTCTCACTGGAACTAACATGAGATGGGACTAGAAGGGATGCTTGCCACGATGGGATTTTCAGTGTTTTTTCACATCCTCAGGAAGCAGAAATCATTTTAACAAGAACTAAGGCTGAATTGATGGCTGAATGCTCACCACACTGAGCTTCACTCAGCTCTGTTACTGATTTGCTGTGGGGCTTTGGGCAAGACACTTAAGGTTAAGTTTTTAGTGATCCCCTGACTCTGTTTGCACATCAGTGAAATAATAAGTGAAATAAAATGTCTCCCTGTTGCACAGTGCATTTCTAAGATTAATTTAAGACTGCAAATTAAGATAGCACTGAGAGAGCCTTATACTGAAAACACCCTCAGAAGTATTATCATAATTTAATATTCTTAGGTATTTATAGGCACCATCATTACCATTCAGAGGTACCCAAATGCCTCACAAGCTTATTTCCACAGCAACCCCAAGAACAGGGTGTGTGCACTCACTCATTTGAGTGCAGAGGCTGAACTACCTGCCAAGATGTCAGAGCAGATCAGGCAACCAGTACTGACCCTCTTAAACTAATGCTACAACCAGTTAGACACTTCTCATTTCTGACAGCTCCTCCCCAAAATCAGCCCCAGGAGAAGGATAGCACTCTCTTAGCTTCTTGGATCTGACTTGGATCTGACATTTCTGGTCAAAAACAAGGTCTGTGAAACATGGTCTCCAAATAGCTCTGGAAGGTTAGTTCTAGGTGAAGAGGAAAGTCACTGCTTTTATCTAACGAGACTTCCTGCTACTGAAGTCTTGATAAGGAGCCTAAGCATCAACTGCTGTCTTGCTGCAATGCCAGAACTTTGGAGGTAACAAGTCTTCAGACTGCTGCTGTCCTGGTGATTTATCCCCTGCAGGTGTATATATGCTGTATGACCCTACATATATGCAGGGTTATGTATACCTTGTATAACCCCAGGAACAGCCATACTGATCAAACCCAGTATCTGCCTAACCCAATATACTGAATCCTTGCAGCGGATGTCTAGGAAAGGTACAAATCCCAAGTCTGCACAGACAGGTCCTGCCTTCCCACTCTGCGAGGCAGTGGTTTTCCTGTATTTGTAGGATAGTCACAGCGAGAAGCCCTGTAGTTTATTTCTGCTCACATTCAGACTGGAAATTAGGGCACACTCTGGCCCTACCTGTTTCACTAGGCACCAACTAAAAAGCTGAGCAAAGGCAATGCGGCTGGATGCTGTTGTGGTCCTGGCCAGCACGCCAAGCCAGCAGTGGCTGGAAGTATGCCCTACATAGCGCAAATGAAAAAATGATGTAAGACCAAAGCTTGGCATCGCTGGAGCCAGGAGAGAGGAAAAACAAAACAGAAGAGAGTAGATAGGGGATCAGCAGGGCAGAGTGAGCTTCCTCCACAGAAGGTACAACCCAAACCTGCTGAAGCCATAGGAGGTTTTAGATCCGGTTGCAGTTGTGCTAACAGTGCCCTGCACTCAACAGTGGGGATGGAGCATCTCCTGAAAGGAATGGGGTTAATTTTCCATGCTGCTCAATCCCTGCTGCCTCTGCTCCCTACAGCAATGCCAATCAGCATCGGGTGGTCTTGTGCTTTGGACAGCCACTCATCAGCGGCAGGAATCAGACCAACAGCTCATTTCATACAGGCCACTGAGCAGCAGCCAGCACAAGGTCTGGGCTAGACTTTGTACTCACAGCACAATAGTGGAAAGCTACATTACATCCCATTAGCGCTCCCTCAGGCCCTGCAGTCCCTCCAGGCTCAAAAATTTTAAAACACTTAGCGCAGACCTGCCAAGTCTCATTTACATGGAGGAAGACTGGCTCATTCATGAGTCATTTCAAAGCATGGGGCCAAACTGATCCCCAGTGTTGTTCTGACAGGGTCAGAGGGTGAAGGAAAATCCATCAGTGAAATGGAAGAGTAGATGGACACTAGGGATGGATTTATCCCTCTTGCTTGCAGTGATGGGGCTTTGCTGCAGGTGATTTTTTTAAACCCTTGGCCTATTATCTACCGGTTCATTCAGCCAAAAAGCCTTGCGCTTGGAGGAATGTGCTGTTGGAAATTCCCACAAAATGGGACTTCTCAAGGCTTCTAGGCCAAACGTTTGATTGATTCAGTGCAGTCAACAGAGCAAAGACATGCCTTGAAGTCCTGCTGCATCTGTCTCCTGAAAAAAAAGGGAAGCTGACAGGAGTTCTGCACGCTGACATGTTCAGCTTGGAAAGCTGGGGATCTTTTCAGTCTCCACGTTATGCTTCGATTGCAGGGGGAGAGAGACAGATCAGCGGGGAGCGAGACATTGGGAACTCGGCAAGCTGGCAGGAGTTCAATGTGGAGTGAGGCTGCAAAGAAGGCTGGGACTTCACTTCCTTGTAAAAGGGTCAAAATCCAGGCAAAGCTGATTTTATTTCTTTTTAAAATCACATGAAGGGGTTTTTCCTGTAGAACTGTGCAGAAGGTCCAGCTCCAACTGGTGCCCAGTTATGTGAGGAGCACAGAGTTCAAGCTTGCTCTATCACTACGCTGTATCTCCAGCCATCTAATCTACATCACTAGAGTGAAGGCTCAGCTGCAGTGAGCTCCAGCAGGCTTTTTCTTCTAAGTTTGTTTTTATTTTTCTTTCTTTAGTCAAAACGATATGAAATGCCAAGTTTGGACATGAAAGGAAGGAATATCTAAGTTTTGCTTTGAAGTTGGGGATTCAACTGAAGTGGGGGCTGAGATTTAAGGGGATGCAACCCCCCTGAAACTCAAATAAATGTTTGTCTAAGCCCTTGAGAGCTGAAACAAAGACATTTCACATTGCCCCACTCTGGAATAAGTTTTACTGGTTTTCAAAAGTGAAGCGCACGTGAGTACAGTGTCCTGAAGTGACCAGCAGGATGAATTGAGCAGATCAATTAAAATTGATGGATCTATCAATCTTGACAGTGTCACGTCAAAGATGAGGACAACTGACTAAAATACTAGCTCCCTTAAGAGAAAGGGACAAAAATATTTGTATGCCTTAACTTCAAAGCCTCAGCGTGACCACCGGGATTATTGTGACAAAGCACACTGACATGGTCACAGACGTGACAGGTTGACAAACGAGGGCTGGTGGGGTGGTGCTGTCTGTAGGAGTGTGAGAGAGGGGAGATCAGATTGAAACACAATCTGCCAACAACAAAAGAAGTCACTGAAGGGAAGTCCTGGGCATTTAAGAGACCCAGTTTCTTACCAAAGAAATGGGAGGAGGAAGAAATCTCCTTTTGTTTGTTGGTTGCTTGTGACCTAAATACCTTGCAGCTAGATCATCAAATCCATCTGGCTAAAAGTAAAAAAAATAAACTTCTGTTTGTCTGCTGAGTTGTTTTTGTTGAGAGCAAAACAGAGAGGGCTATGCATAGCCCTGGTGGCGCTGAGCAGAGGAGGGGGACAGGAAAGCATTACCTGGTATTGGGTGAGCGTGCAATTTTGTCCACATTCACAGCTGGCTCTTAGGCAGGGGTGGGAAGTTAGCTACACCCCTAAATTCAATACAGCTCACAGCAACTAAGATGAATCCTGGTTTTCTGCGTTAGATGGGACATGGCCAAAGAGAGTGCAACCATGTGTTCTGCCTAAGGCATCCAAAAGTCCTACCCACTCTATGATAAAGTCACAGAGATCATGATAGGGAAAGCAATGTCACAAGGGTTTAGAGTGAGCTGGACTAATAGCACACTGATGACCCTTCACATAATTTCAGCACGCCAATTCAATTCATTTAACTGGCAGAAAAATAATGCAGCAAAGAAAAACAGGAAAAAAAAATTTTCTGCCAGTTCAGTGGGCTGAACTGGCTCATGAAGGGACCTGACAGGGCCAGGGCCTGTGCAAGGGAGGGAGCAGCCCCTGCCTGAAAACGCAGGCAGTGCTTTCAGCAATAGCAAGATGTTAAGACTGTTGCAGCCATTTGGAGGAGTATCACCCTGCACATTCCTGCCATCTCACTAGAGATGGGGGGCAATGCAGGCAGCTGTGTAAGAAGGTACCCACTCAATACAGGCTCTATCTTCTCTGTAAATTTTACACCAGCATGCGCATATGGAGAGGGACATCTGCATGAGAAGTCTGTCTTCTGTCTCAAAGTGATCTCAAAGTCATCAAAGTGATCTCCTGCTGCTCTGGGTATGCCTAAAATTACTGCTGATGAAAGGAATTAGAAGGAGAACACACACTCCTCTGGTTTCAAGGTGGTTTCTTTTGTGTATTGAGTGGCCCCCTTGTGCAGCACCAGATCAAGACAGTTCCTTCTAAGGCCAGGCTGTCAGCATCCTGCCCCCCTCCTTCTGTTGTGAGATTCTGTGTGGAGAGAGAAATAATATCCCTACCCCACATTTCTAGGAAAATATGATAGTAAAAAGCAAGAAGGATTCAGAAACAGGTGTAGAGTGTGAAGATACTTTGAACTCAGTTATTGGAAGCTGCCCTAACTTTATGACCGAGTTCAAGAACCAGAAGACACGTGGAAACCATCCAGACAAGGACACAACACTAACTGCTTGCAAACTTTGGCTCCTCCAATTTGGCCACAGTTCAGTACAACCTTCCCCTCAATTCTTACTCCCATAGACATGAATGTAATACAAATTCCCTCAATCTGGCCAAAGCCAGCAGATATTTTGAGTCGATTTGCCTTTTTTTGATCTCAAGTGGAAAGGGAGGGCAGGAAAGGAGCCACCATCTGGACTTGACCTTGCTGGGACTGTGGGGAGTGAGAAGGACTCACCCACCGCAACATGCACTTCCCACCTCCAACATGCTTACCTTGCTTTGCTTTCTGTCCAGGTAGAACTGATGTTGACTAATGGCCATAGCCCAGATAGACTTTATTAGTGCTGGACAGGCGTACCACGTATGCACAGCAATGCCACTATGCCCAAATGTCCTCCTGGTCACAGATGCCCTGGAGAGGAAAAAAGAATGAACTGGGGTTACACCAAGGTTTCCTCGGACTCTTTTCTGTGGCAGAACCTATCATCACAGACCTCATAGTAAAAGCGGCTGTCTTTACTGTGCACACCCTTATGCTAATGGCAAAAAATGCTTTGAGAACAGCAGTAAATAGCTAATCACACCAGGAGAGCATTTACTTTAAATAACTCCTCAAGTTAGCAAGCTCAAGAGGACTAACAGTAAAGATCATCCAGTTTGTCCAGTTCAGACTGTATTTGTGGGTTTGGCTCAGCTGATGCTGACCTGCTACGTGTCCCAGGGGAGTCACCAATGCCAAAGCATGTGTGAATCCTCTGTCTCATCACACGCTGAGACACCTGAGGCCAAGTCATCACGCCCTCCACTACCTCTGGCTTTGGACAGTGGCTCTCAAATATTAGGACCGAGGTGACAACTAAAGATCCACAGGATCAATGGCTGCTTTAGGGAATGTGGGAGAAACTCTTCAGGTGCCTTCATTTTCCCACTTGTAAACAGATGCAGCAGGACTTGCTATGTGGTATGGGAAAGGGGAGTTGTGAGACTCAGAGAGGGCTGTCTAGTGCCCTGGAGAGAAGAATGTTACTCAGTGATTAGCTGAGTGAATATAAAAACAGGAAAAATAAGAGCTAAATGTTTCCTCTCTGGGACTCCTAATTGTCCTCAAATATTAGCAAAAAACACAGGTTAGGTTTCCCCATGCTTTCACAGCTGTACAAAACTGCTTGATTATTCCTCCCCACCCCTCAACTCTAAGCCCACCAGCAGAGCCCCTGACACCGGCACACCGGCACACAGACTCGCAGCATCCTGGTCTGCACAACTCCTCCCACTGCAGCGATATTAGCACTGGCTGGAGTAAACCAAGCCACTGATCTATAGAGCCCCCAGAAAATGAGGTCCTCCTCTCCAGTCTGTTAAGAGTCTTGTGGTGGAGTACGATTATGAAATGAATATGAGCACGGGTACAGAGGCTAGCTCAGAAGCGTGACACTTTTGTTATAGCCTTTCACGTAGCGACATGGATGGTGAAGAGGGGCCAGTGCAAAAGACAGCCTGGGGAGCAGGGTGTCCTACAGAGGGGCTGCCACAGTCCATAGCCAGCAGGCACTCTGTGCAATGCTGATGTGGAGGTGATGCTGCAGGACAGCCCAGGAGCTCTACTGTGCAGTGCAAGGGATGGCTGACTTTTTCCCAGCACTCGGAAGTCCTCAAACCTGCTAAGGCAGTGGTTCCCCTCCTGCACCTGCACTAGCCGCCTCTCCTCTGGTGCCTGTGGGGTACTGCCCTGTCCAAAATTGGAGGTGAACACGGGGAGGGGAGGCACATGGTCAAACAAAGTTGTGACAGAGCCAAGAATGAAAGAAAAGCAAAACTCTGCAGCAAAATGGGAACTGCTGGCCCGGTTCAGCCTGGGAGAGGGCTGACAGCTCTTGTGTCAGGCCCTTTTCAGTGCTGCAAAATGTTAAAGTCAAACTGTGAAGCTACAAATCGGAGTGAAATTTCTCTGAGAAAACAGTCACAGCCAATGCAAACAACGTCTGAGACAACTGGGATCTCATGTTTCAGTGTTACTCTGTGCTGAGCCCTTTCCATGGGATGGCAGCAGAAGACCTTGTCCCATTATGAATATTGTTCTTGTGAGAAAACTCTCCATGGATGCAATAGGACAGCAGCTGATGGTCCTAATGAGGATGGGTGCTGGGCTGCCTCATCCCTGTCACTGGACAGGGAATGAAGGCTGTGCTGGGAGGTGCTCTTGAAGTTGAGGCTGGAGACAGGATCCAACTCTGGATGCTTTATGTTGGTTTAAGGGACACAAACAGCTGCAGCACATTGGCATTAAGGCACTCAAACATGGGCTAAAGCCTTAATTCTGGTGTCATTCAGTTCAGTTCAAATGCAGTTACTCATTTTGAACTCTCAGAAACATACTCTGCAAGCCATTCACATTCTCACCACTCTCACAAGCAGTGATTTGCAAATTTTTTTCTTTTTGGAACCTGTACATATTTCCCATCAAAACTGCAGACCCTGTTAGAAAGTCTGCAGACTTAGCTGGTCAGAGCTGTGGACTTGCTTTTCACAGCTGTCTTTTGGGGACCTGTGAGAAATGGCCCATGGGTGTTTTTTCTATGACTTCCCTCCACGCATGCCACATGGGCTACAGAATTAACCTTGTTGATACCCCCTAAAACGTATCATTTCCCTCCTTTACAGGACGAGGAACAGCGATGAAGAGAGGTTAAATGGCTTGTTCGGGACAGGAAGCCATGGGCAGAGGCAGGGCTTAAAAACACACATTGTGCTGCCCAGCCCTGGCCACAACCAGGGAGCTGTGCTTGCTCTCCTGCGAGTGTGGCTTCGCTGACTCAGGCTCTGGTTTGGCTACACGGAGAGGAATGCGGAGAGAGCACTGTGCTGGCTACTCCTCCGCCTCCACACACTGAACAACTCACAGGAGTTCATCCCACTTGGCCAGGAGACTACAACCTGAGCTGTGTTCCCACCATGCCACTGCAACGTGCCTTGCTGTTTTACAGCCAGTGTACCATTTTGACCTGGACGGTGGTACTCTCTGCATATGAAAATCAACCAACTGAATTCCCTTGTAGTGAGAAAGTACCAGGCTGACAACCTGGGACAGGGTATTGTCCTCCTGGTGTTGATTCAGAGAAACAGCACAATGGAGTAAAAAATGGAAGCTCTTCTGTGTCAGTAATTCCTATCATCTAAATACAAATGAGACAGAAGACGTTCCTCTGGTCCCACTTCATGCATGACACTGAGTTGTAAATATCATCATGATTTTAACGTCCGAGAGCTATTTGCTTTCTTTTCCTTACAACTGTTGCTTCCAGGAAATAGCCAGCCTGGGCATTTAGGGGCTTCTTGCTGCTGGTTGCTTGCAGCACGCGTTTCTGACGCCTTGCCTGCTGCCGGAGGCTTGGTGGGGGAAGGAGTACACCACCCCCAGCTGCTGCTACTGGAAGATCTCCCAGCATATTCTCAACTTTGGGAATTTGCTCTGCTAGATTTCATGCTACTATTTACATGCTTAATATTAAGCAGATGCTTCAAGGCTCTGCTGACCTGGAGCTGCACAATGGTACGAGCTGCTCTACTGAGTTTTTGTTTTAACAATATGCACCTATAGAGACAGGCACCGTTGTATTGGCATGACTGTGTTCATATCAGGGCAAATAAGCACAGAAACTGCATGCAAAATTCCCCTAATAAAAGTACATATATTAGACACAGATAGGCATGGGAAACAGGTGAAACAGGATCACAGCGGAGCGATCAGCAGAACGCGCTACTACCAGCACATCAAATCAGTCTGGGAAGACAGCTGGTTTCCACCAGTCGTTTTCATACTTACTTTTCAGGTGGGATATTGCTTCTACTGAGAACAACTTACAGAGCAAAATACACACTGGTCACTGTCTGCAGTAACAATCCACTAAGGCAAATGAGCAAGGGGTGCAGAATGCACCGATTAGATGCAGGACAGTCACTTGAACTCACTCTCTCCCACGTTAGGTTTCTGAAGTAAGAAGAAAAGACTCCTGTGCCAAAAAGACTGATGGGCTTTCATCCAGACTGCCGGTAAACCTCTGGTACCATGCCATTCCTTTCAATTGCACTACTGAATATTTATTTACAAGGAAGCATGTGAGTACAAAATCTGGCGCCCATCTCCAGGCTCCAAGTGCAACACAGGGACGAGGCAACCTCCCTTTCACGCACAGGGGTTGCCGGCACTGCAGCTGGGACACCGGAGCTGCACAGCCCCCCCGAGGGTCAGAAGGTGCCAAAACAGAGGGAAGGAAAATAAAATACTGCTAGGATCCGAGGGGAAACACGTCCACAGAAACATCCACCCGATCCCAAAACGTCCCCCTGCAAGGAAGCAGCAGCCCCCGGCTTGGTACGCGCTGCCCCTTGCTTACGGGTTCCCCAGCTACCAAGCCCCGCACAGGGACGGGGGGAGCGCGGCTCGCCACGACCGGCTCGGCGCTGCAAAGCCCGGCTCTGCACGGCTCAGCCCGGCTCGGCACGGCTCGTCTCGTCTCGACGCTCACCTGCGCGGGTCGTGCACCTCCACCGAGAACTTCTTCTCGCGGAAATAGAGGTTCTCCAGCTGCCTCCATTGGAAGATCTGCGGGGAGAAGAAGGGGGCGAGTGAGGCTCCTCCGCGCAAACCCTCGCCCAGCCCTGCCCGCCGCGCCGCTTCCTCCCGGCGCTGCGGCGGGGCTGCCCCGCTCCGCTCCGCTC